TGGGAATCAGGTCGGTGAGGTAGTTAGGGGCAGTGTTGTGAATGGCCTTATAGGTCAGGGTGAGCAATTTAAATTTAATGCGTGGGCAATGGGGAGCCAGTGGAGGGAGAGGCAGAGGGGGGTGGCAGAGGTGGAGCGGCTGGTGAGGTGGATGAGTCTGGCCCGCTGAGTTCAGGATGGTCTGAAGCGGGGAGAGCCTGCACTGGGGTAGGCCGGTGAGGAGGGAGTTGCAGTAGTCCAGGCGTGAGATAATCAGGGAGTGTACTAGTAGTTTAGTGGTGTCTGGGGTAAGGAAGGAGCGTATCTTGGCGATATTGCGGAGGTGGCGTCTGCATGTGTTTGTGAGAGATTTGATATGAGGTTGAAAGGAAAGGTTTGAGTCCAGAATGACGCCAAGGACCTTGGCTTGCTGGCGGGATTGATGGTGGTGGTGTTGTTGGTAGTGATGGAAAGGATGGGGGGGGGGGGGGGGCGCGGGCTGGGGGAAGATGAGAAGCTCGTTTTGGAGAGGTTTGAGTTTGAGGAAATGGAGCGACATCCAGTCAGAGATGTCGTTTAGGGAGGTGAGTGATGCGGGCGGAGAATGTGGGGGTGAGGTGAGGGGTGGATAGGTAGATTTGAGTATCATCGGCATAGAGGTGGTAATTGAAGCCGTGGGAGTGTATGAGTTTGCCAAGGGAGGAGGTGTAGATGGAGAAGAGAAGGGGTCCAAGGACAGAGCCCTGGGGGACCCCAACAGAGAGGGAGTGAGGAGGAGGTGGCACCGTTGTAGGAAACGCTGAAGGAGCGTTGGATAGATAGGACAAGAACCAGGAGAGAGCGGTGTTTCTGATGCCAAGGGAGAGTAGTTTATTAAGGAGGAGGGGGTGGTCGACTGTGTCAAAGGCCGCGGAGAGGTCTAGGAGGAGGAGGACAGAGTAGTCGCCTTGGCTTTGGCGGTTAGTAGATCGTTGGTGATTTTTGAGGAGGGCAGTTTCGGTGGAGTGTAGGGACGGAAGCCGGACTGTAGTGGGTCAAGGAGGTTGCTGTCAGTCAGGTGGGCGCTTAGGCGATCGAAGACCAAGCACTCAAGGAGCTTGGAAGTGAGTGGCACAGGGAAATTGGTCTGAGGTTTGTTGAGGTCAGTGGGGTCCAGGAGGGCTTTTTGAGTATGGGGGTGATGTGCGCATGTTTTAGGGGGAGGGGAAGACGCCAGTAGAGAGGGAGAGATTAAAGATGTGGGTAAGGGAGCGGATGAGGGAAGAGGGGGGTGACCGGAGGAGTTGAGAGGGGGATAGGGTCCCAGGGGCAGGTAGTGAGGCGGCTTCTGAGAAGACTCTGCTGACTTCCTCAGTGGTAGTAGGGCTGAAGGAGTGCAGTGATGGGGGGGTTACGGTAGGCAGGGCCTTGGGTGTGGTGGGGGCAGTGCCGTTGCGAGGTCAGAGGAGGGGAGAGATGAGGGGGTGATGAAGGGGGGAGGCTAGATGGGGAGGTAGATTGTCCTTGCGGATTGCGTCAATCTTGTTGTGGAGATGAGTGGCAATCTCGTGGGCGGTAAGTGAGGTACTAAGTGGAGGAGGGGGGGGGGAGAGCAGGGAGTTGAAGGTGGAGAAGAGTCGGCGAGGGCAGGTGGAGAGGGTGTTAATCAGTTAACAAAGTAGGCCTGCTTGGCGGCGTGGAGGAGGAGGTGTAGGTGAGGAAGGCAGATTTGTAGAGGGAGAATGCATGAGGGGACCTGGTTTTGCGCCATAGTCTCTCCAGCGCACGACTGCGACGTTTGAGGCATTTAGTGTGGTCGTTCTGCCATGGTTGGAGCGGTCTGGGTTTGATGTTGCGTGTGTTAGGGGTGCCAGAGAGTCTAGGTAGCTGATAGTGAGTCGTTGTACGTGTTAGTGGCTAGGTCAGGACATGACAGTGAAGGATGCTGTCGTGTAAGCGGGGTCGGCAGCCGAGTGGAGGGGGGCCGGGTGCAGGTTGCGGAGGTTGCGGCTGGTGATGGTTTGGCGCACTGGGGGGGGGGGGAGTTAGGGGAAGGGGAGGTGGAGAACGTGAGGAGGTGTGGTCGGAGAGAGGGAAGGGGTGTTAGTGAAGTGGTTAAGGGTACAGAGGTGGGAGAAGACGAGGTCCAGGGTGTTCCCATTGATGTGGGTGGAGGATTGAGTGTATTGTGTGAGTGTGAAGGAGAGGTTGGTGGAGGAGTTGGGAGGTAGCTGGGGTGTTGTCATTGATGGGGATGTTGAAGGAAGCCAGGCGGCGAAGTCATCCAGGAAGCGGGCTATGGATCCAGTGGGGGCCTGTAGATCACTGCGATCCTTAGGGGGGTGGTGAGAAGAGCCGGATGCAGTGAGCCTCGAAGGAGGAGAAGGTTAGGGAGGGGGGTTAGGAGGACCTGGAAGGTGCTCAGCGGTGATAGGAGCAGGCCGACACCACCACCACCTTTGTGACCGCCCAATCTAGGTGAATGGGACCAGATGAGACCTCCATGGGGAGAGTGCCGCAGGGGAGGTATGTGTCAGTGGCCTGTACCCAGGTTTTCGTGATGGCTAGGAGGTTGAGGGAGCGGGAGATAAAGAGGTCATGGATGGCAGTTAGTTTGTTGCAAACCGAACGGGCGTTCAGAAGTGCAACCGAGAGAGGGGGGGATGGATGCGGGGAGGAGGTGCACAGGTATGAGGTTGAGGGGGTTGCGGCGGCTGGCGGGGGCAGGGGGTCCCCTGGAGGGGGGAGAGGTGGTGAGGGGCCAGGGTTTGGGGAGATATTAAATCTATATTAAATTTATTGATTTTATAGAAATCATTTTTCATTTAAAGAGACCAGTTTTATATGACCTTGACATCTATTATCATCTTATGTATTGCTAATGCTGCCATTACATTGTTATATTTATGTAAATATGCTCCGTACAATTGAACTGTTGCCCTTTTTAAAAGTTCATGAGCATCGTTCTCTCCAAACATATATGAAGGCTTCATCGAATCCCCCTCCATTAGTTTGAGAAATGAGCATACCTGCCAGTACACCCGCAGTGCACATATGCAGGAAACGTGTCACGATGATGTCATCATGCTTTGCGATGTGCTTCATGAGCATTCTAGCCCTCGCTTTCGGATCTCCTCCATTCTTCAGCCGGCTTCCTGGAACCAGATCAAGCAAAGCTGTATGGAGACAAGGCATTTGGATGACCCAACACAAAAGACGTCTATATCTTTGACAGACACAGATGTGCCTTTGATACTTGGTTTTATGTGAATTGCCAATTTTTGTTTGCAATAAAATTAATTTTATAACCTCTACACTTGGAGAAGCCTCTTTCTCTCTCCCCTTTTTTTTTTGGTAAATTAAATTGATTGGACATGATTTGGAAAGGCATACACCTTGCTATAAAAGGCACTGCACTGAAAGTTCCCAAGAGCACATTAGCCTCCATGATTCTCAAAAGGACGAAGATTAGCACAATCAGGACTCTTCCAAAAGCTGTTTGCCTGGCCAAACTGAGCAATCGGGGAAGAAGGGCCTTAGCAAGAGATGACCAAGAACCTGATGGTCACTCTGACAGAGCTGCAGAGATCCTGTGTGGAAATACTGTAGGTCAAAGTTCCAGAAGGACAACCATCACTGCAGTCCTCCACCAATCTGGGCTTTATGGCAGAGCGGCTAGACAAGGGGTACTGAGTGAAGAGTGAGGAAAAAATTAAGAATGTAAACAACTGTAGTATCCGGCTGCAACATAAACTTAAAAAAGTGAAGTGAGTCTGAATACTTTATGAATGAACTGTAAGTCCATCACTTTTCATGTGAAAATTTTAGCAAACAAAAACATAATTTTCGATTAAAGGGGGCTCAGTGCCCATGCTAGCATGTTTTAATGTGCATGATTGGAAGAAGAGGTCAGTGCTTCAAGCAATATCTCTGCAAATCTTTACTGCCAAGGCATTCAGCATTTTAGATGCACAAAAGAGCCCTTTATCCAAGTTGTCCCCAAAACATCAGATGTCTTCACTTCAAAAATCCACAGATATTGCTTGAAGAGGAGGTCTTTCACTTTTTTTTCTGTTGGTGCCACCGCAGGGGGTACACATATGAAATTTTATTATGCACAGACACGTGGAATATGTGCTTTACATGTGTTTTGAGGATTCTCTTTAATTTCTAATGTGCCCCAAAGCACTTTAGTGCAGTACAAGCCAGGTTTGAGCCTTTTGACACACCAAAACACTTGCGTGATAACACACGCGCATTTTGGCAAAATGTTCAGGATAGAAAAAACATGCCAGCATTGGTGTAAATGGACATACCTTTGTAAGCATTTTCTTAAAAGGCTGCTTTTGATACTTGATGCAGTTCCATACTTTGTCACTGACCCACACAAAGACAGAAAACAATTTGGTTTATGTTCGTGGCTATTTTCTACCAAGTACATGCTGGACATGAAATCTTTAACTACACCTCGTAGTCCAGATAAACTTTGACTGGCAAATTGAATGACCCTTGCTTATTATTAATGGGATGATATCAAGCAAATATGATTTCCACTGAAACCTTTTAAACTTCTTTAATGGAAGCTATTACTGAGTGACATATGGAGGTTGACTTTATTGACTTTTCCTGAAAATGTTAGTGGTCTGGCTGTGTCTAGCCTCAATGTTTTCTGATTCACTGACCTAGAATAAGCCTGAAGCTAACAAAGTCAGAATAGTTTGAGCCCCTCATTTTCCTACTTATTCCAGGGCAGTGCCTCAAGGTATGGAAGCCTTTTGATCAAAAGTGCAGCCAGGGAACTAGCTTTTTCAAAAGGGAAGTTCTGTAATTGTAGCCTGTGTATTGTCTTAGTACGGATTTCCTGTGCCTTTATTAGCTAAAACACTGTTGGAATAGTGTTGCCCAAACAGCAAAATGTATTTATGAATTTGGAACCTGGAAAACCATATACATAGTTTTTTTTTTTCTTTGTTTTTTTACTTTTTTTTTTCTCTAATAACCTGTATGGACTAACACATAGTGTATATTGGTTGATTCTACAGCTAAAAGAGAAAATCACTACATCAACTGACTTACAGCATCAGCTGGAGAAATTAAAGCAACAGCATCAAGAGCAACAGACTGTTCAACAGACCACAACGTCCAAACTGAGGGAAGCACAGGTAAACAAGATTCCGCTTACTCCTAATCAAATTTTCACCTGCTATGACAAACTTGTTTAGATGGTGGAATTAGAAGGGTTGTAATCCTTTTAATTATTATTTTTTATTAATTAATTTATTTTTAATATTCAGAATGCACAATATTTTCCAGTTTAAAATTATATTTTTGCAGTGCTAAGTAGATAAAAAATAATTTACCCCAATATATGTTTGTATGCTAGTGCTTCCACATTTGTCTTAGCCATATGTGCAATCTTTATATCAATATGTGCAATAAACCTACATTTCTCTTCTTTCTACTTCTATCCATAAAATAAATTAAGTTCTTAAATTGGTCCTCAGTGTGTAACTCTTTTATGTGTGTCATCAGTCTTTAAAGGATAAGCTCACCTTTAAAAAAAAAAAAAAAAAAAACCCCAAAAAAAACGCCCCCTTTTTATTTATTTTTTTTTTTTTTTGGAGTTAAAAAATGTACATTTACGATTTTTTTCCTCTTAGGAGCCTGTAAAGCATTGCACCTGTGGGTGCAATCTATGTCAGGGCCCTTTAACCTGTCAGTATAGCTGTCTGGCCTCCGATATAGAAAGGCAGTTACTTCTGTCCAGGGAGCTCAATAAACTACGAGAGCGCTCACCAGTGCTCTTGTACTTCATTGAGGAATACAAGCTGTCCGCTACAAAAGCTGACTGTTCTTGTAGGCATTCATTCAGAGAACTGAAGTGAATGAATGACATGGCCGTGTTGGTGGAGCCCCCACACAGCAGTGCTCTTTTCAGATTGTGACTGGGTGTGTGGAGAAGATCCCTGATCCGCTGTCAAGGGGTTGGAGGGTTGGGATGGGGAAATCAGGGAGAGAGCTTCAGGAACGGAAAGATGTTGCAAGTTCCTCAATAAAGGGGGTGGAACATATAACATGTTCCCAAAGGTGAATCTATCCTTTAATAAGTGCAGCAGTGATTCCTTCAAATCAAATTTCTCCTGTGCAAATTCCATCTTTAATTGGTGCTTTCACGCCACCATCTATTGAAAAAATACTTTTTTTTATTATTATAATAATACAGGTTTTATATAGCACCAACAGTTTACGCAGTGCTTTACAACATAAGGGCAGATAGTACAATTTCATTACAAATTAGTACAGAAGGATTCAGAAGGCCCTGATCGTTAGGCTTGTGGATGGGCTGATAAAATACATGTACAGTTGTCGGTCGGGGGCAGGAAAGGTCTCTCTGAAGAGATGCGTTTTCAGGGATCGTCTAAATGTGGACAGAGATGGAGATAGTCCGACACATTAGGGAAATGAGTGGCTCTAGACAAATCCTGGAGGCGAGCATGGGAGGAGGTGACAAGGGAGCTAGTGAGCAAGAGGTCTTGGGAGGAATGAAGAGAACGATTTGGTTGGTATTTTCAGACTGTATCTAGGGGCTGAGTTGTGGTTGGCTTTATAAGTTGTTGTAAGTATCTTGAACTTTATTCGTTAGGTGAGCGGGAGCCAGTGGAGGGTCTTTCAAAGAAGGGTGGCAGACACTGAACAGTTGGTAAGGTGGATGAGTCTGGCAGCAGCATTCATGATGGACTGGAGGGTGGATAGCCTATGCAAAAGTAAGCCAGTGAGGAGGGAGTTGCAGTAGTCAAGGCAGGAGATGACCAAAGAGTGAGTTAGAAGCTTTGTGGTGTCATCGGTTAGGAAGGGGCGTATCTTGGAGATGTTGCGGAGGTTGAGGCGGCAAGCTTTGGACAGCGATTGGATGTGGGGCCGAAAGGATAGTTCAGAGTCAAGGATTACACCTAGCTTCCTGGCATGTGGGGATGGGTTGATGGTTGAGCTGTTGATTTTGACAAAGTCAGTGGAAGGGGCACGTAGGGAAATATTGCGAGCTAAGTTTTGGATAGATTAATTTTCAGGAAGTGGTGTGACATCCAGGCTGATATGCCTGTTAGCAGATTAGTGATACATGATGGAGTGAGCTGAGGGGTAGAGAGATAGATTTGGGTGTCATCAGCATAGAAATGGTATTGAAAGCCATGGGAGGCAATCAATTGACCCAGAGAGGAGATGTATATTGAGAAAAGAAGGGATCCAAGAACAGAACCTTGGGGAACCCCAACGGAGAAAGGAAGAGGAAAAGAGGAAGTAGAATTGTAAGTGACACTGAAGGTGCAATGAGATAGGTAGGATGAGAACCAACAAAGAGCACAGTCATGGAGACCAAAGGAGTAGAGTTTTTTTGAGGAGGAGGGAGTGGTCCAATGTGTCAAAGGCAGCAGAGAGGTGCAGGAGTAGGAGTACAGAATAGTGTCCATTGGTTGTAGATCGTTTGTAAGTTTGAGGAGAGCAGTTTCTGTGGAGTGCTGAGAGCGAAATCCACACTGAAGGGGATCAAAAAGGTTATGCTTTGTGAGGTGGTTGTTCGTCTGGTTGTAGACCACTTGTTCAAGGAGTTTAGTGGAAAAGGGGAGAAAGGAGATGGGTCGTAGGTTGTTAAGACTAGTGGGGTCTAGTGAGGGCTTTTTAAGTATGGGGTGACTAGTGCATGAGAATTGGGTAGATGCCGGAAGAGAGGGAGAGATTGAAGATGTGAGATAGAGAATGTAGGATAGAGCCACAGGGTGACTGTAGCATTTGCAACGGAACAGGGTCCAGGTTAGGTGGGCGTTAGAAAAAAAGGTTTAGCAACCTCATCTATTGTAGTGGGGTTGAATGCAGGAAGTAGTGATTGTCCCTGTGGATGTCGAGTGTTAAGGGATGTATCTGCACGTCAGAGATCTCCTTTTAGAATTGTATCGATTTTCTTTTTGAAGTGATTGGCGATCTCCTGGGCAGTGAGTGAGTTAGTGGGTGGAGGATGAAGAAGAGAATTGAAGGTAGAGAAGAGTTGATGGGGATTGGATGGGAAGGTATTAATGAAAGTAATTAAATAGGTCTGCTTGGCAGTGTGGAGGCAGGAATAGTATTTCTGGAGAGTAGATTTATATTGGTTTAAGTCTTTGTGAGACTTGGTCTTAAACCACAGACACTCAAGAGCGCGACTATGTTTTTTGAGACCTCTGTTGTCATCTGTTTTCCAAGGTTGTAGGGGTCGGGGCCTGACTGGGTATGTAGTGAGGGGGGCAAGCTTGTCTAGGGATGAAAATGAACTGTTGTAGACAGAAGTTGCTAGATCTGGGCAGGACAGGGATGATATTTTGTCATAGAGGTGGTCAGTAGCAGAGCAGAGTAGAGAAGAGAAGGGTTCAGGTGGGGAAGGTTTTTACAGGTAACTGTTAGGCGGTTGGAGGGAGAGGAGGTGGGAGACAGAAAGAGAGTGAAGCTAATAAAGGTGGTGATCAGAGAGCAGGAGATTGTTGTTGGAGAGGTTGCATGGAGTGCATAGATAGAATACAAGGTCAAGGGTTTTGCCATTGGAGTGAGTAGAAGCCTGTATCCATTGATTCAGGCCAAAATAGGAGGCTATATTAAGAAATTTAGAAGGAACAGGAGTGTTAGTATTGATAGGGATGTTGAAGTCGCTGAGAATGATTGTGGGATTTCAGAAGAGAGAAAGAAGGGTAGCCAGGCAGAGAAGTCATCAGGGAAGATAGATACCAATCCAAGGGACCGGTAGATCACAGCAATTCATAGAAAACAGGAGAGAATAGATGTATACAATGTGCCTCAAATACTTCAGAATTTTGGAATCGGCTGCACTCATTTCTTCTAAGGATAGAAGGTGCTCCAGATACATATTGCATAATACACTTAATGTACAGTAATGTAAATCACTGAAAATCCCTGAATGAAAATAAGTGAATAAGGCAGTGTTTGTTTAACCACTCACTCAGAGAAACTGGGACTGCATTAATGCTGCAGCCCATGTTACTGGCAGTGGCCATGCCAACAGGGATCATGCAAATGTTTGCAGTATTTTTGATGAAAAAAAAAAGAGTTACCTGTCTTTGCAGAGATAAAAATATATGAATAGAGATAAGATATGAATGCATCATAATATCCACAACTTTGTTGAAAGTAATTTTGAAATGAGCAAGTAAAATCTGCCATAAGGCCTCCAGCATTTTCACCTTTGACATGGACCTTGTGTTTTTTTTTTGTTTTTTTTTTTATAGAGTGATCTTGAGCAAGTATTACGTCAGATTGGGGACAAAGACCAAAAGATCCAAAACCTAGAGGCCTTACTGGAGAAAAGCAAAAAAAATATCTCTCTGCTTGAGAAGGAGCGAGAAGATCTGTATGCTAAAATTCAAGCGGGTGAAGGAGAGACTGCCGTTCTTAACCAGCTGCAAGAGAAGAACCACACTCTTCAGGAACAGGTATTTGCCAAATTAATTTTGCTGGCAGATCTGAAATGGTTAACATTTTCACTATGCCCAACACACACTCATACTAAGAGACTTAATCAAATATGTGCAGCCCCTCTTCACTAGGATGCCTTTTCTATTTTTTTGTAGCTGATTTATATATAGATCCTGGGGCTTGGGTCTTTGTGGTGCAAAACATTTGTTATTGGGTGAGTGCTGTTAAAACTGAACTCCAGGCTTTTTATTTTTATATGAAATGCATATAAGGAAGCTGTTTTACCTACCGAATAATTTGTACTTCTGACATGTAACAATCCTGTTTGGCAGGGCAGGAAGGAGACCTGGTCTGTATCTGCTGCAAGTAATACTTGTAGGTCTTGTCCATCCCCAGCCTGTGAATTGACAGCTAAGAGAAGAAGCAAACTGATTAGCTACTCTCTCTGTCATTCTGCTTTCTCCTCCTATCAACATGTTCCTTGTAAGCACTACAGCACAAATGATCTCCCTCCCACCATTCTGAGCTCTGTTGTACAGGGGCTTGATACTAAGCCAAATTCAGGTACTTTTAGTGCTTGCAATAAAAAAAAAAAATATATGTTTAAATGGTTAGTTCATCTTTACAGAAAAAATGACATGGACTTTGTCAAAGATGATGCATGTGGTTGATGCAGTATTTCACTAGTGCTGTGGATAGTATTGTGGTGCTGATGAACAATATTGTAGGATAGCTAAGGAAGGGAGATGTTATTATGGTACTAATTTTGAAAGGTATGATGGTGCTGGTGGTAAGGAATATTTTATGGTGCTGTCCGGTGAAAAATATACGTGTTTTGATGCTTGGCTGTCTCATACAAGGGCTTCAGTACTTTCCAAGGCACATATTTGTAATATTTATTCATATCAGGTGCTATGACTTATTTCTGACTTTTCTGGTCTGTGTGCCGCATCTGGGTCTGTGACTCAGGTTATTAAAGCCAGATACAACCATGCAAATTGCAGAGCATATGAATTACTTTAAATATTACACACACATGTTTCGGTTGTCCTGTAACAGGTCACACAGTTAACGGAGAAATTGAAGAACCAATCAGAAAGTCACAAACAGGCACAAGAGGATTTACACGAACAAGTGCAGGAGCAGAAGTCTCAGCTTCGAGCATCACAAGACCGTGTCCTTTCTCTAGAGACCACCTTAGGGGAGCTTAATAGCCAGCTGAATGAGAGCAAGGAGAAAATTGTCCAGCTCGACTTACAGGTATTCTGAAGGATCTTTTCACTAATAATGTTTTTTTTTTATAGAGGAAGGAGAACTCATTTTTGTCTAATCATTTTGAGAATATTGCTTTTGCTAAATTGCCTATTAAAGAAAACATTTTCTAGTCATTTGTGTTTTATTTGCAAGTTATTAAATTAACCATTTTAAATAATGATATAATGGGAACCATGTAGCGATATTCAGAATTTGAAATTCTCAGTAAAATGATAATATGGTAAGACTAATCAAATAATGTACTATTCTGAGTGCAATACTGGTATGACAGCACCTCCTCCCCCAATCCCAGGTTATTAGCAAATTTAGATCAAGCTACAATTTTAGAAGTAGTTTACTGTCTTGGCAATGATCTCAACAGCTGTCATAAAATGTAAAGCATCTTTATTACAAGCAAATAAGGGAGCACCCAAGCAATTGTGTATTATTTTTTTTTCTGAATTTGGGCTTGTATTAAAAGAGAAGTATGGGCTTTAGAAAAAATAAACATTTATACTCACCCCACCAGCTCTAAGACTGAGAACTGAGCGATCAAACATCACTCACTTCTCTGGTCCACTCTGAACAGAGTGGTGGCTATCAGTCACCAACTCTCTGCTCTGCCACTTCAGTGCTCACTGGAGTGCTGGGCTGTGGAGGGGCGAGAGTGGCTGGCTCAGGCACTCAGCGGCTTGCTGAGAGGCTGAGCCCAGCTGCCAGACCACGTATCTGTGTGGGTCCCAACTCTAAAGTCGGACTAGCTGAGTGACGAACAAACGGCACTCCTGTGATCCGCAGGAGGAGTGAAGTCAAAATAGCTTTGGCTACACTTCTTCTTTAAGGAAAGTATCCTATATTATAGGTGACAGGTTTTATCTTTTATATTTTGCTATGTTTTGCAGCAGTCTGCAGTTACAAGTGCTGCTGATATTTTGGTAGTGTGCACAATAACCTGACTGCTTTTTTGTGCAAGATGCTTTTGTTACTTATTGAAGGCCTTTACGCAAGACAGCCAACTTAATTTCCTATACTGAAATAAAGCTGTAACTAAGTGTAATACCTATGTTTATCTAATGATCTTAGTACACTCGCTGTTGTGTGTCAGAACTTGACGTTTGCCAAAATTGACTTTATTGGGGGAATGGCTGACACCTTGAAAACAGCTTTGTGTGCAGTGATTTAGTGCTAGATTTTCATGTTCCTATTCAGGAAAGTTTTAAACACAATGGACACTCGATTCACAAAGATTTACCACAAGATTAAGTATCTTTATTTCTTTCTTGTCCGTTGAAGGACACTTGAACTTTTATGCTGTCAGATTACACTGCTGACAATCGGAGGATTGGACACTTGGAAACCAAAAAATTGTAGAGAAGTTATTTATACCATTTATAAAGTGATGCCCTCTTATATTGTATGTTATTTATTTTTTTTGTTCTTTAAATTGTAGCATGCCTCAATGTTTTGCTAGTGTTTTAGGAGGATAGATGTATTGGTAAAAATCCAACCTTTTTATACTAGCTATTTTTTCTTCACTCAATCAAGATTCCTGCTACATCACTGCTTGAGCTAGTTTCTATATGCAACTTTTACACTTGAGGATTAGCCTTTAGGCTTTGCCATTGCTGTCCCCAATCTAGGATCCTTTGAAGTGCTAAGATCTTCATACTCTTTCTGCTACAATCTTCCTTTATGGAGACTGGAAACATACTGACAAGATTCCAGTGGAGGGTGATCTTGTCTTTAAGAACCCCACTGATAAGCAATTAGAGGGTCCTTATAGAGCTCTGCTCTCACTGGCAGGTCCTGCACTGCAAACTGTTTTATTCATATCTTTAATCTGTTGAACCCTAGCCGACTGGTCTAAGGCTATTAGAAGGGATCTCAACAGTTAATCCCTTTGTTATAGAGCATTTGTAATTTATGCCTGCAGCCTTGAGTCACCTCATATGCCGTGTGAGTCTCTTGACAGTGTATGTGAATAAGGCTCTTTGGCTAAAGTGTTGTCTGCAGAGCCTACATGTTAAAAGTGCTTGCTGTTCATGACCTTCAAGAGACAATGCCTCTGTATATCTTCAAGGATGCCAAAAGGACTCAGATTCTTCTTACTCAGCAACAGAAGCATATGGCTCAATCTGGCAAGAATCACCCCTCAATGGAGGCCAAGAAAAGCCCTCATTATTCCAGCACTTTGACTATTCCTATTCTTTGCTCTGAGTCCGCTACACTTCTGCACCAGTTTGTGGTCTTATTCTACTGCATTTCTGGTGTTCACCAAGGTTCTGGCCCCTGTGCTATCCTTGCCAAGCTCTTAGGACATATACATAGTGAGATATCTAGATGACCTTTAGCTGAGGGAACAGGCTTTAGTGGATAATGTAGCTCTGATTGTCCAGACCTTTCAGATGTTTGATGGTATGCTTCTCATTCTTTGATTGAGACCTTCATGCAGGATGTTGGCTATGTGGCTTCACGTGTTTGTGCCTTAGGCATCTTTATTTGTTCTCTCGGCACTTCAAAAACCACCTTTTGAACCCATAAGGGATATTCCCTTTTCCTGGCAGCCTTATTTTGTAAAGAACCCTCTTTAGTTTTTTCATGATATAAGTGGTGTTGAGGCCCATAACTTCGTTTTAAGGTGAATTCAACCTTTCACCCCAACCAGGACATCATTCTTCCATCTCTCTGTCTGGGTCCAGTTCATCAGAAGGAGATCTCCTTCCATTGCCTTGGTATAGTTCAATCTATGAGAGTTTATCTTGTAGCCATTGCTTCCTACAGAAAGACTGATGCTTTTTGCCACTCCTGATGGTCTCAGTAAGGGTGAATCAGATTCTCATTTGACTATTTCACGGTGGCAGACAGACCCTCATTCAAGCTTATGGCTTTATGGATCAGGTGTTACCATTTCCTGTCAGGGCACACTCCACTAGACTCGTAAATGCCTCTTTGGTCCTTTGACATCAGGCTACTGTTTCTCAGATTTGCGAGGCTCTAACCTGGTCTTCTGTTCACATGTTTTCCAGGTTTTGCCTGGTGGATGTTCAGGTCCCATCTGATGGCATTAGGTCCTTCAAAATCGCTCTTTTTTTGTGAGCCTGTTAGCATTTTGTTTGTTACCAAGCACTCAGCTGGACTGCTTTTGGACAACCCAACAGTGCAAGACTTGTGTGTCCCTTGATGGACGAAAAGAAAATAGGAATTTGGTACTCGCCAAAACCCTTATGCATGTGCTAGTAGGCAGGATACAAATGAATTCCGGTAAACATGTAGTTTTGTTTTCCTTTAATAATGCTACTTGAACATTTCTAACCTGTGAAATAGTTGGAGCTCATTCACAACAACCTGCATGCAAAATGTAATTTGCCTTGCAATCTTTTTTGAAATGTAACAAAAAACATTTGTTTTTGTACTGCGGTGGAGCTGCAATGACATTAGTTGAGGTGTGGTTGGACAAAAAATTCCGGCATGTTTCCATTTCTGCACAACACCGCAAACCGCCTCAGTGCTTGTTTTATGTGTGTCCTTGCAGTGAGTCTGCATTGATCCGTGCAAGTTAATGCAGGTCATCACACATGGTGTAAGCGAGACCCTTAATTAGTTTAGTTCTGCTTTTAAGTATACATAATGCTCAACAGTAATTTTCAGTTACTTATTTTCTCTAATATTTTCAAACAATAGCTCAAAGCAAAGACAGAGCTGCTGTTATCAGCGGAAGCTGCAAAAACTGCACAAAGGGTCGACCTGCAAAATCATTTGGATACAGCTCAAAATTCACTACAAGATAAGCAACAGGTAAAGATGATTCTATTACTTCCAAGCATCTCTACATCCATGTGTTATTGTGGATCATTCATTGTCCATGTTGGAAGTTTGGATTTTAGTGAAGAAATGTAATTTGTCTGTTCTACTGCACTCCAACTGTTAGGCTTTTTTCATACTGAGGAGTTTTTCAAGTATTTTTGCGTACAAAAAAAAAAGTGCCTGAAAAGCTCAAGAAAAATGTTTGGGGAGTTAAAAAAGCAAAAAAACGCCTCTTCCCATTGAATTCACTGGAAAATGCTTGAAAAAATGCCTGAAAAGCTCCTTAAAAACGTCTCTGAGAAGTGTTTTTGGTGCAGTTTTTAAGTCACGTGTCCTTTAAAAAATGCCCAGAAAGCGTGGCAAAGGCTCTGTAAAACCTCTATGCATTGCTGTGTTTTTGCGCCTGATCAGTGTGAAAGTAGCCTTATAGTTCTAGGGAGATTTGTTAAGGCTTATGTGAGTGTGAGGCTACTTTCACACTGATCCAATGCAAAAACAAAGCAAAAACGCATAGGCGTTTTTGCTGCGCTTTCTGAGTGTTTTTAAAGGACACGTGACTTAAAAACTGCACCAAACACGCTTCTCAGAGGCTTTTGTCAGGCATTTGTCAGACGTTTTCCATTGATTTCAATGGGAAGAGGCGTTTTTGGGGTGTTTTTTTAACTCACCAAACATGCCTCAAAGATGCTGCAAGCAGGAGTTTTTACACCACAAGCGCAACTCCTAAGTGTGAAAACATACATAGATATACATTCACATACATAGAGAAGCGTTTTTCTTGAGCTTTTCAGGCGCTTCTTTTTAATGCAAAAATGCTTCAAAAACTCCTCAGTGTGAAAGTAGCCTTAGGGTTAAAAGTTTTATTTTAGGTGTTAAGGTTTAGTTTTAGGTTTACATTTTAGAAGGGAGATTAATTATTAAGGGCTCATTTTAGAGATAAAGTTAAAGCGGTAGTAAAACCAAAAATGAAATCTATTGCAGTTTACCAATTGTGAGATGTGGTGAATGCATTAGTTTTATTTCTTTCTTTTTTTTTGGCTTCTTTTCAGCTTCCATGCAGCTAAAGTGGCAGAAAGTTGAGACAAACCATTTAAAACTTACCATGGTCAGCATTTATTCTTTAATGGAAAGCCTATATCTTGAAAGCTTGAGTTTGGCTTTAAAACAGAACTTAACTCCAGCATCATTCCCCTCCCCCCTGCCCCTAATATGCAGGGCCATCTTTAAAAATGGCATGTGCTGACATGGCAGAGGACCTTACTGCTTTAAGCAATAGGTTTTGGCTTCATTTTCTGGGTCAGGTTGAAGTGGTATTAAACCGAAAACCAGAAATATTATAGGATTTTAAAGGAAACTAGTACAACCATGTAAGGATTAGTAATAAATGTTTGTTTGAGTTTAATGCTGCTTTAAGGGTTAGGCTAGGAGAAATGCTTTAAAGCAGAATTCTAGCTTTTTCCCTCGCCACCTGACTACCCCACCCTGAAGCCACACGTGATTTTTTTTTTCTTAAATTAAAAAAACACCCTATACATATACCTTTTGCCTGCAGTCTTCTAGCCTGTCCTGTGATGACTCAGGAGCTTCCTCCTCAATCTCAATGCCAGCAGGGATCAGGCATTTCTCCTGGACTGAACAGTGGTCATGTAATGACATGTAAGCGTCGCCCAGTCATGGTGGTGTGTCAGTGACAAGCAGGGAAGAGGTAGGAGGAAAAACAGCTTTTTTTTTTACTGAGGGGCAGTGAATCATGAAATGTATGCTCTATGTTTTTCTGAGAGTACAGCATACATCATGTCATGCTGTGTCCTTCATGTTAAATTAATAGTCTCATGCTTGAGATTTTTTTGTTATTGTAACTAAATTCATTTTTTTTTCTTTTTGTTCTGTTTAGGAATTAAATAAAGTCAACACTCACCTTGAACAGGTAACGGCAAAGTTACAGGAAAAGCAGGAGCACTGTACACAGCTGGAGCAGAGTATTAAGGAGTATAAAGAGAAATACCTCACTATGGAACAAAAGGCTGAAGCACTTGAAGGGCAAATTAAAGTAAGATATTAAAGATGACCTCTTTGCTGATGTGGTAGTTGCAATTTTAAAAATCAAAATGTTGTTTTAGATCCATTTTTCAGACTGACTGTTCTTCTGAACTTGTTTTAAGGAGATTATTATTATACAGGATTTATATAGTGCCAACAGTTTACGCAGCACTTTACAGCATAAGGGCAGACAGTACAATTACAATACAAATTAATACAGGAGGATTCAATCTAAGAGGGAGGGTCGAGATACAAAAGGTAATAACTGTGGGGAATGGGCTGATGGACAAAATACATGTACAATTGTTAGATGGGGGCAGGATAGGCCTCTCTGAAGAGATGAGTTTTCAGGGATCGTCTAAAAGTGCACAGAGATGGAGATAGCTGGACACATTGCGGAAGGGAGTTCCAGAGGATGGGAGTGGCTCTATAGGAGAAATCCTGGAGGTGAGCATGGGAGGAGGTGGCAAGGGAGCTATAGAGCGGGAGATCTTGAAAGGGACGAAGAGAATGATTTGGTTGGTATTTTGAGACCAGGTTAGTGATGTAACTAGGGGCAGAGTTGTGGATGGCTTTATAAGTTGTTGTACGTATCTTCAATTCTGTTTGTTGGGTGAGAGGGAGCCAGTGGAGGGATTGGCAAAGAGGGGTGGCAGACACTGCACGGTTGATAAGGTGGATGAGTCGGGCAGCAGCATTCATGATGGACTGGAACTGGGATAGCCTATGTCAAGGTAAGCCAGTGAGGAGGGAGTTGCAGTAGTCAAGGCGGGAGATGACCAGGTAGTAATTTAGAAGCTTTGTGGTGTCATCGGTTAGGAATGGGCGTATCTTGAGATGTTGCGGAGGTTGAGGCGGCAAGCTTTGGACAACGATTGGACTTAGGGGTAATCCTGGACTCTGAACTATCCTTTTGGCCCAAACACCCTGGCATGTGGGGACAGGTTGATGGGTGAGCTGTTGATTTTGACAGAGAGATTAGTGGAAGGGGCACGTTGGGGAGGAAATATGAGCTCAGTTTTGGATAGATTAATTTTCAGGAAGTGGTGTCATTATACTCTATTAAAGCGGCAAGTGTGTGTGTAAAACTTCTAGAGTAGAGATTATACATTTTTGTGAAAATCTGTGCTACAAATAAAGATGAATCCTTTCGTGGAATAATATGGGTCTCCCCTACTTCCCTATCCAGTAATGTCAGATTTCATTTATAGTGCCACTTGGCTGTTATTTTGTGTTCCTACATGGCCATTCAAATATAATCCTGCAATATTTGAATGTGGTTGTAAACCTTTGACATGAAAAATGAACAAAGCATATCTTTCTATAGTGTATACGGTACTTACCTCAGTTCCCAAAGCACTGAGTGTGATATCTGCCGGCAGTCTGACAGGCTGTGATGATTTAAGGTTATAAGCACTGAGACGAGTGTGAAACACTTCAACCTTTCATTCTCCCATTGTAATCTTACTGTTTTTGTATGCTGCGTTACATGGGTTTGCTACAATAAAGGTGTTTTTTTTTTTTTTATTCCTGGAGGAGTGCAACCGTCCGGATTTTCCTTTTCTTGTATGCACGCTGGGCTGACACCTGGTCAGAGTGTGTGTGAGGTTCAGCAGCAGTGGACTGACCTGGAACAGCTTCTCTCTCTCCACATAGGCTGTGCTCACTGCAAGGGATCAAGAAGCTGGGGGCCTCCAACACACAGCCTGTGATTGACAGCTGTGTATGTTTCCCTTTGAGATTGTGTAGAGGGCGGTGTATCCTTTCCTTCCACTCAGGTCTCGGATTACACTCAGCTCTCCATCTCCCTCTCTGAGTTGTGCAGTGTGTGGAGGATTTATTTAATCTCTGTATGTGACCTGAGGCCAGTCACTTCACTGGGTATTAGTAAGGGTTTACAACCATTTTAAGTTAAGTTTATATAAAATTGTGAAATTAGATGTTGTGATTGTAACATGCATTGCTTTATTGCATTTGCAGAAAATGGAAGCTGACTTGGCAAGTTTAAAAACAAGCCGTGAGCAGACCGTTCAAGATCTGCAGCAACAAAAACAGCAGTGCTCCCAGCTGGAGTTGAAAGTGTCTGAACTCAGCAAACAGTTAGAGGAAGAGAAGGGATTGTAAGTCACAGTTTTTGTTTTGTTCATTGTTTGACAAAGGATAATGAATGCACCTCTAAAGTTCAAGTTCAATTTTATTTAAAAGAAAAAAAAAGAGAGGTGTCCCTCACGTCCTTTAACCTTCTAGGCTCCCACATAGAAGGTAAAACAGCAGACATCTACATTTATTTAGCATTTTACTTCCACTGTTTCTTGAATCTCATGTTTGCCAGGTCTTTAAAAGTGCCTGCTGGATCCTTAATTTGACTGACTGGCTCCTAATTTCTGCAAACCCAATTGCAGAAAAAAGTTGGGAGTTGGTGTAAAATCTACATAAAACAGAATGCAATAATTTACAGATCTCATAAACTCATATTCACAATAGAAAATAGGAAACATCAAATGTTTAAATCGATCAAAGGTACCTTTTCAAGTATAAAAATAAGGTCATTTTGAAATAGAAGGCAGCAACACATGCCACAAAAGTTGAGAAAGGGCAACAAAAAGCTGGCAAAGTAAGTGGCTCTAACAAGAGCTGGAAGTACATTTTGCAGCTAATTAGGTAAATTGGCAACAGGCCAGTAACATGACTGGGTTTTTAAAAAGGGAATCTTAGAGAGTCAGAGTATCTGAGAAGTAAAGATGGGCAGAAGTTCACCAATTTGTGAAATGCTGTGTCTAAAAATTGTCAAACAATTTCTGAATAATGTTCCTCAATGTTAATATTGCCTAAACTTTATCATCATCATCAGCTGGGGGAGGGGCCTTAACATGGTGCCGACAGGTCACTCGTGTTAGGAGCTCCTGATGTCCGCCAAAATATAATGAACAGAGATATTGGAACCCTACTTTACCTTGTCCTCCTGTGTACTCCTTGCACGGTGTGGTGTTGGTGGTGTGGAGTCCATTCTCCCTTGGTTGCATGAGAGGCAGCTGTCGGCGAGTGGAGCGATGGACGCTGGGAGCGCTCATGTGACAGCGGAGAGGAATCCTAGGACACGCAGCTGTAGTTTGGAGGAGGAAGCCGACACTGGAGCCGTGATACCCACTGAGGGTGATCCCTCTGTACCACCAATGACCCACTGTGATTGCCCCTGCAACAAGAGTCCTGACTGGAGAGGAGGAATGAGAGGGCCCCCCCACACACTGGATGTGGGAGGTGAGGGTTAGTTGCCCGGGAAGTGGATCTTTATGGCCTGAATTAAGCTTATTTAAGGGGAGTGGATGTAATAGCACTTTTTGGGAGGGTCTTAGATGTTCTCTGGGACTGTTAAAACTAAGGGAAGGAACCAAGGAGAGAAGAGAGGGGTCACCTAGTGGGTCCAGAAGAAAAGGAAAAGAGAGAGAGAGAGTTTCTTTTTGATCTGCTGATTAACAAATAAATATATTAAAGGAGGGAGGAAAAAGGACAAAGTTTGTTAAGTCAGATCAGAAGTTCCAGAAAGGAAAATTGGATGGGGTACATGATGAGGAGGTTAAAATCTTCTTAATATACCTTATAATATACCTTAGATAACGAAGAGAAGAATACCTGCACTGAAACTTAAATTTAACTATTAGAACTTTGAAAACATTATTTGGCTTTGAGATATAGAGCTGGAAGTGTAATCTCAACGATATGAAGAACAGATCTGTAAAAGGAGGAAGAACAAAAACTCCTAAATCAAGTACAATAAGAAAATATATGCCCCCACTGGAGAAAAGCCCAGAGGGTCAAACCCCTGAGAGACAGCAGGGAGCAAGAGAAGACACGAGCTGGGAAATAACAACAAAGATCAAACTAGACTGTCATTAGGTGTATCAAATTTGAACCAGATTAAAGAATCTATACATATTGAAAGTGAAATAGATTCTGAAAATACAGAAAAACAAGGATCAAGTTCGCAAATGCCCACAAAAACAGAAATTACAGAAATGTTTGTGAAATTAGAGCACTCCATAAAGAATTAAATGGCTGTATCACATAATGACATGGGACAAATTCTATCACGAGTTGAAGAAACAGGAAAAATTAGAGAAACATGCCCAAGTAACCACCAAGTTTGAAGGTGGAAGAAATGCGAAGGAAGCTAGCATACAAATTGGAAGATCAAGAGAACAGAGATAGAAGGAACAGCTTGAGGATCCAGGGTTTGCCAGAAGTGTCTTCAGGAGAAGATTTATGGGATAAAATTAGAAAAGTGTTTAATCTTATAATAGGTAGACAGTGACAGAGCAATTGAAAATAGAGTACACAGGACTAGACCGCCCCAAGGAGTGGCACTGGATACCCCCAGAGATGTGATTGTGCGATTTCACCATTCTGAAGACAAAGTAAATATTTGGAAGTTGCGTGGGACTCCAGCAATAAAATATGGAGAATTAAGCCTGCAAATATTTGCAGACATAGCACCAGAGACATTGGCTAGAAGAACTCTGAAACCATTATTTGACCAGATGCGCTAAAAAAATGTCCGATATAATTGGGGTTTTCCAGGATGTTTGATTGAATGAAAAGATGGACAATCGATGAGGCTGAGATTTCCAGAAGATCTAAAGGTCTTCTGTGAAAGACTAGATTTACAGATGATAGATATTCTGGGATGGTTTGAAGGAGAGTGCAGAGTTAGAAAAAGATAAGTGGCAATTAGTCTCCAGAGATTGCGATAGAATTGTTATGAGTAGTAGTCTTAAGGAGGAAGATGACAGAGAATAATGTTAATGAGGATCGATGGTAGCGGGGGGAGGGGAGGAATAGAGAAAGGAAATACTTTTTTTTTTTCTTTTTTTTTTTTCCCCCCTCTCTTTCTCTACTCTCGCTCGCCCTGTTTCTTTCTCTCTTTCCCCTTTTTAAAGGCTTCCCCTCCTTTTTGGGAGGTCACAATGTGTTGGAGAGAGGAAATATGTGATATATGTGAGGTATAATCGTTGATATAGCAGGAAGATAGGGTAGGGGGAGGTTGAAGGGAGGAATTTTGAGCAAGATAGGTAGAGAATCTTTTTAAAATTAATGGCGGGGCATCAGGAGGTTCAACATGCTACTGGTTTCTGACCCAAGGACTGAAGATAGCGATCCTGATAGGTGTATGTGTTCTGAGTCTCACCCTGAAAGAAAAAGCGATCGTGGGACCAAACCACAAACTGATTCCAGGGCTAGAATATGGGCCAAAGGGTTCTAAAAATAGGGAGGGGAGGTGGAGGGATTGGAGAGGAGCGAGTGGGGGGAAGGATGGGAGGTAAAGGTTACTCTAAAGATATCTTCTTGTTCCAAATTATATATATCTGCACTCTTTTAAGTTGGAATATAGATGGAGAATAAAGATAGTAGAAGGAATAAATGTGATAAACTTTATGACATATAATGTGAAAGGATTGAATACTCCAACTAAAAGGCATAAGATCCTTAGGGAAATACATCAACGTTCTATTGACATAATGTTTCTACGAGAGACACATATATCTCAGGATACAAAAGTTAAGTTATATTCTAAACACTACCCAACTTGGTGAATCAGCATAATACCAAGTTGGATATCAGCATAATACCAATAAAACAGGCAAAAGGAGTAGCAATTGGGTTTGCAAAAAATTAAAGATTCACCACGGAAGATAGATTGGTGGATCCAGAGGATCTGTTTTTATTCCTGAGAGGGAAACTACAAGGATTAGAATGTACATTAGCAAATATCTATTGCCCTAATAAGAATTCAGTAGTATACCTTGAGGGTTTGCTAAGAGAACTTGCAGACTTTAAGAGGGGTAAGCTGATTGTGGCAGGAGATTTAAATTTTTGCATTGATCCTTGGATGGATACATCATCGCGTGTGCAGAGGGAGGGAGAAAAAAGTCTAAAGTCTGTTAAAAGAAAATGTTAGATCAGTGTCAATTGATTGACTCCTGGAGAATTAAACATACAAGAGAAAGAAATTATACCTTCTTCTCTTCTGCACATGGGATGTATGGAAGACTGGATTATATAATGATACAACATTGACTCTTGGGGGTTTATTTATTAAAGCTGGAGAGTCCAAAAAGACTCCCTTCTGCATAGAAACCAATGCTTCAGTTTCATTGCCAAAGCTTCATTAAACCTGAGGTGGAACTCTGTTTCTATGCAGAAGGGAGTCTGATTTTGGACTCTCCAGCTTTAGTAAATAAGAAGGGAGTCATTGGTGAAATCCAACATTGAGGTAATGTCAGTATCAGACCATGGACCTGTCACAATGAGACTACGGTTGAGAAGGGAAAATAACGTGGTTGTAACCATAAAAAAATAAAATAACGTGGTTGCATAATGTGTTGCACACCCTCTTATAGCTGGGGATGCAGCTGTGTTCAGAATTAAGCAATCACATTCAACATCATGTTAAATAGGAGTCAGTACATACCTGCCATCATTTAAAGTGTCTCTGATTAACCCCAAAGTTCAGCTGTTCTAGTAGGTCTTTCCTGACATTTTCTTAGTCGCATCCTACAGCAAAAGCCATGGTCCACGGAGAGCTTCCAAAGCATCAGACGGATCTTGTTGTTAATCAGTATCAATCAGGAGGAAGGGTACAAAAGAAATTCCAAGGCATTAGATATACCATGGAACACAGTGAAGACAGTAATCATCAAGTGGAGAAAATATGGCGCAACAGTGACATTACCAAGAACTGATGTCCCTTCAAAATTGATGACAAAATGAGAAGAAAACTGGTCTTGGAGGCTGCCAAGAGGCCTTCAGCAACATTAAAGGAGTTGCAGGAATATCTGGCAAGTACTGGCTGTGTGGTACATGTGACAACAATCGCCCGTATTCTTCATATGTCTGGGCTATGGGGCAGAGTGGCAAGACGGAAGCCTTTTCTTACAAAGAAAAACATCCAGGCCCGGATACATTTTGCAAAAACACATCTGAAGTCTCCCAAAAGTATGTGGGAAAATGTGTTATGGTCTGATAAATCCAATGTTTAACTTTTTGGCCATAATTCCATATCCAAGATATGTTTGGTGCAAAAATAACACTACACATCGGCAGAAGAACACCATACCCATAGTGAAGCATGGTGGTGGTAGCATCATGCTTTGGGGCGGTTTTTCTTCAGCTGGAACTGGGGCCTTAGTCAAGGTAGAGGGAATTATGAACAGTTCCAACATCTGAACATGAAGAGGAACTTCATCTTTCAGCATGACAATGACCCAAAGCATACATCCAAATCAACAAAGGAATGGCTTCACCAGAAGAAGAATAAAGTTTTGGAATGACCCAGCCAGAGCCCAGACCTGAATCCGATCGAAAATCTGTGGGGTGATCTGAGAGAGGGCTGTGCACAGGAGAAGCCCTCACAATCTTACAAATTTGGAGTGTTTTTGCAAGGAAGAGTGGGCAAATATTGCCAAGTCAAGATGTGCCATGATGATAGACTCATACCCAAAAAGACTGAGTGCTGAATAAAATCAAAAGGTGCTTCAACAAAGTATTAGTTTAAGAGTGTGCACGCTTATTCAACCATATTATTTTAGGTTCTCATTTTTACTTCCCTCCACCTAAAAGATTTCAGTTTGTTGTTCAACTAAGTTGTACAGTTTATAGGTTACATTAAAGGTGGAAAAAGTTCTTAAATGATTTTATCTTTGTCTCATTTTTTTACATCACAGAAACCTGACATTTTAACGGGTGTGTAGACTTTTTATATATATTTTTTGGATACAATGCAAAAACATGTTACCTCTTGCTTTAAAAGACCCTTACAATAATATCTGGATCTGTTTTTCCACTGTTTTTGGAGAAGTAGGAAAAGGAGCTTGGAACAAAATTTAATGAGCAGGAAAGAAAGAAAATATTTAAATTAACACATGGTGCTGTGGAAATTAATATAGTAGAAATGAATTAAAAATGTTTAGTAAGATGGTATATTACACCTAGTGTGGCACCTTTATGTTTGAGTTCACCTTTATGTTTGAGGGGGTTTGGGATGAAAGGAATAATGCCACATATATGGTGGGATTGCCACAAAATACATGAGTTTTGGCAAGGAATAATACAACAAATAACAGGAGATATTGGGGATTAGTATATTGAAAGACCCTTGAATCTGTTTATCTCATAACTCTGAGTTTACAGTGAAAAAATACAAGAATATGATGACATTTCACTTAGATTGTAAGCTCGAAAGAGCAGGGCCCTCGATCCCCTCATGTTTTGCATTGTATTGGTATTGTTCTGTCACATGTTCTGTCCCCCTTTGTAATGTACAGCGCTGAGCGAACTATTGGCGCTTTATAAATACTGTATAATAATAATAATAATAATTTCACTTCATAAATGCGGCTAAAGGATTGATCCCTAGATTTTGGCAGGCACAGGAGACCCCAAAAATAAAAGATTGAATAAATAGAGTGGAGTATACAGGATGGAGGAACTATACCATATTGGAGAGGATAAAACCAAAAAATTAAAAAAAAACGTGGAAAATATGGTGGGATTTTAAAACATCAAAGCGATATCTAGAATTTAGTTGGCGTGTAAAGGATGGGAAGAGATAATGAAAGGAATAACTGTGTTTGCAGGAAGGAAAAAGAAGAAGAAGGATAGGTGAGGGGCGAAGATAAACCGAAAGGAGTAAATAGAGGAACAAGAAGAAGAAAAAAGGAAAATAGTAGGAGAAATGGGAGGAAACGGGGGGGGGGGGGGGGTGTTATGTAAAACTTGTTTTTGGAAAATGTGTGTTTGTAATATTTGGAATGATGTTTGATTTGTATTATAAATTTAATAAAAATATAATATAATAATAAAAAAAAAACTTTATCATATACAGTACAAAATATCAAAAGATTCAGAATGCAAAGAAGAATCCAAATCTGACATGATCCAGAAATGCCGTCTTCAAAGCTCATATAAATCTGTTTCTTGCAAAGTGGAAAACTGTTCTGTGATCAGACGAATCAAAAGTTGACATTCAAGTTTGACAACCATGGGTGCTTCATTCTCCGGACTAAAAAAAGAGAGGGAGCTTGTGGCTTATCAATTAAAAAGCTTGCATCTCTGATGATATGAGGGCGCATTAGTGCATATGGAATGGGCTGCTTGCACATCTGGAAAGGCACCATCGATGCTGAAAGTTATATCCAGGTTTTAGAGCATATGCTCAGGCAAGAGAATGGGACAACATTCCTTTCCCAAAACTCCAGCAACTGGTCTCCTCAGTTCCTAGATGTTTACAGTTAAAAGAAGAGGGAATGCTACCTGGCGCTCTGCTGCCATCAATTTAAAAATTACCTTCTTTTTTTCTCAAAATGGTACATTTTCTCAGTGTAAACATTTGATGTTTTCTATTGTGAACAAAAATATGGGTTTGTGAGATTTTCAAATCATTGCATTCTGTTTTTATGTTGATTTTTACACAGCCCCCCCCCCCCCCCAACTTTTTTGGAATTGGGGTTGTACGTTAATTAGTCCACATCTGTCATTACTCTGCTAGTCTTTACTAGTGTAAACTGATAGTAATACAAAGTCTGAGCTGCCATCACGGGATGGTTGTAGTCTTTATCTACCATCAAATCTGGATACAATTAATCTCTGTGTGTTTTGGTAAAGGATAAGTTCACCTTTCATAACATGTTACACCCGTATTCAGGGTGTAACATATTACATGTTATGGTCACACCGGCCCCCGATTCCCCGCTTTCACAACTAGCAGGGGATCTTCATTCCCCCTATGCTAGCCTGCTGCATCACTCATTTACAGTCCTCTGTCAATGAGAGACTACAAATCCAGACATCCTTAGCGGCTGTCGGCTTGTAGTCCTAATTGAACTACCATGGCGCTGTGGAGCGCCGTGGTAGTTCATTCATTCTTTTGTCAGTTTATCTGTTTGCCCATACATCCTGTATGGGCAAGCAGATATACTGACAGATCTGAAGGAGACCTGTATGGCACCAGTGATCTGCAATGCTTTACAGGCTCCTGCAGACAAAAATAATAAATGCACATTTTCTTAGCTGCAAAAAAATGTGCATTTATTTATTTATTTTTTTTTTCTAAAGGCTGAACTTATCCTTTAACTTTTTCCCTGCAGTGTTTAACCAGAACTTTTGTTTGTTTACAGAGTCTCTAGTACCAAATTGGAGTTACAGAAAAAGTCTGAATCCCTGCAACACTCCAAAGAGATGCTATCAAAACAAGACAAAGAAGTGACCAGCCTTAAAGAGACAGTAGAAAAGACAAAGCAAGAACTGGAAAAAATTAAAGCTCAACGACAAGAGATGTCTGGAAATCTGGAGAAACTGAAGCAGGAGAGAGACACTTTGCAGACAGAGCTCAAAGATTCCAGGGACAAGTTGGTCCAGAGCACAGAATCCCTGGAAAAATCCAAAGAATTGATAGAAAAGGAAAGACAGACTGGGAAAGAACTGGTTCAGGTCATGGTAGGTATTCTGTATATAACCAAAACCTTATTTGGATGCTGCTTTCAATAATCGTTAGAGCTGTGTTCAATATCTTGTTATGTTACAAGAGATTATATGGAAGATGGTTCAGTGCACATCTTTTGTTTTTTTTTCCCAGGAGAAGTCACGCGACGATTTGAAGGTTAAGCTTAAATCACAGGCAGATGCTACAACAAAAGAAATCCAGGAGCTTAAGACTCATCTGGCTGCTAAAGTGGAGGTAATGCTTTAGATTTTCTGCCTCCGGTCTTTCATGTTGATGTCGGCTCTCAAATATGATTTAGATACAAGATGAATTAATGTCAAGCCAATCACATTGCTGAATCTCAAAGTAATACTGATGCTGACTTATCTGGTAGAATGGTGAGACTGCCAGTGTCTACACAGATGTCTTATACAAATGCAATGTATTAAGTTGCCTTGGTCACAAAGGAATGCAGTCACTTTAAAAGAAAGTACTTTGTTTAGACAGGAGAGCATTTTAGCGATTTGGATTTTGACCTGCAATTGTGTCTGATAATCTTATGTAGTTATGCACATCTATGCAGTGTTTTGATTGTCAGGCACTGAACCTCTTGTATTAAAACAAAGGAAAACAAAAAGCAAATATCTAACGTTGAATGCATCAATCAATGAATAAGTGCTTGACATTGTTTTCCCATAAAAAAAAAAAATGACCACTGCAATTTAAAAGCTGCAAGCACTATTGGGCCAAGTGCATGCAAATTGGAGCAAACTTGCTACCTAGGTTTAATTTTTTTAATTATATTTAGCTGAAATAATGGTTTCTAGGGGTTCCGATAGCAATGACACCATTCTTCTTTTGGATTTCTTTTCCCCATGTGTAGTCCTTAGACAATTTCCTTTTCTATTTCCCCATGTGTAGTCCTTAGACAATTTTCCCTTTTCTATCAACTTTGCACATAAAAGGTTCATTGTCATTAATACAACACATTATGGGCTGCAGAACGCTTTTTTATTTCTCATACACCAATATCTTAATCATGCAGTACAGGATTATTCATAGACCCTGACTTATAAGCTGGTACCTTCAGGTGATTGGAAACTGGCAAGCTTTTGAGAACATCCATGAGTTCTCAGTTTTTTGCTAGTGTCCTAAGGTGATGGACCTCTTCTCCCTTATAGAGATTTCACTCTTAGCGTAGCTAAATTATTATTTTATCTTTAGATTCTTCATCAACTGTTCTCCATCTTTTACCACAGCAAAAAAAAAACAGTGTATCCGGGTTGGTACAACTTTGATAAACAAATAGGAACCCTGAACCCCATGCTGTGAAGTCAGCCTATAATGTAGCTTTGGGGATTGGCTGTTGCATGGGCACTAACCTCAGCACTTTGTGCAACATGTATAGTTAGCCACAAGGTGCTACACAGGTCCAGGACTGTGATCTATATCTGTGGAACTGAGACCCAGATGTCCCCTCTGAGGGTATGCGCACCATGCCTGGATCCTGCAGTGAAATCATGGAGTGGGGTAGAGTTATAGGGGGACAACCAGGGGGCTGTTCTTCAAAAGCATGCCAATCACCTGAAGGTACCAGCCTAAATCTCAGTTTCTATGATTATTCAACCCGTGTCCTGTACTGTACTCCCAAGATTTGGCATTTACAGGCAAGTCAAAAATCCTTTTTTTTTTCAGTGCAGTTTAGCCCAAACCATGTGCCACATATTTTCCTTTGTGGGAGAAGAATGAATATGGAGACTGTTATGTAATTTTTTAAGTCAATGGTATTAAAGGAAACCCGTTGAGATAAAATATAGGGTTTGACTGTCATGCTGACACTATGCCTTTAAAAGATAACTAAAGGAAAGCATTTTTTGTTGTTTTGGTGAGAGTGGAGAGTGATTAGAACACCTACTGGATTTGTATTGCTGCCTGTACTCCCATTTGGGATTTACACACTTTTTTATGCTGGTGACTCAAATTTTCTTTCACTTTCGCTCTCAGTCAAAACAAAGTTTGGGTTGTCACCAGAACAGGAGATTAGGTGAATTCTTCCAATGGGGACACTAATTCGGGTGACCCTGGTGACAACCAGTGATTCCCTCACTTTTTAAGAGTTTTCTCTCACTTTCTGTTGTGACTATGGGACAGGAAGTGAAGGGAAATTTCTCCATTGGGACTAAGATGTTCACTGTGACCTAACCTGCATGCTAATATCTAGCACCTGTTCCAGTTCTGTTCATACATGTGATTCACAGTGCAACTTGGGGCTTATCGAGGCATCCTAATAAGTAGGCAGGGAAGATTGCACACTGTGCCTATTATGAACTTTTTCCTTTATTCCAATTTAGCACAAGATAAATGATAAACCTGTGATGCATTTTCTGCTGTACTTAGAGTATTCTCAAGAGCCCATTAAGCTACACGATTGTTCTATGTCAATGGCTCGAAGCATTGAAAGCATTAAATATATATTTAATTAAAAAAAAAAAAATTAAGCTGTTTATAAGCATCCACCATATTACTGGAAAGCTGGCTCAGTTTTTCTTTCGTTCAGCCAATATTTTGAACAATTTTGTATTCTGAAAGCAAGAAGACTCCCCCCACTATTAGTATACACAGCACTGCAGCTGCTGATTGAGTGTTTTTTTATCCGACAGGGTGGTTGAACAAAGTGGTTCCTGCTGAACCAGACAATCTATGACCACCTTAAGTCAAGGTGTGCTTTAAAGCATCTTTAATTTCACAGGCAATACTGTTTCTTCCACTAGGAATCCACTAAGCTGAAGTCTGAAGTACAGATCTGCAATGGCAAGTTACAGGGCTCTGTAGATGAAAAAAAAGAAACTAGAGCAGGAACATCAGACAGAGCTGAAGAAAATTCAGGCATCTTTTGATGAAGAGAAGAAAAGACACCAGAAGGATTTACAGACTGTCTCCACTCAGCTAACTGAGAAAGTGAGTTATGGGATTCACTTGTTGAGTGATTTTCTTTCCTTCAGTCTGTGGTTGCAGAAAAGAAAATTGCACAAACAGAGAGCAGCAGTGACTGGTCTGTATTACAGGAAGCTCCTGCATGATTTTGACACAGCTCTGGATAACATACACCTAGCACACAAGATTCAAGTAAGAATATACATGCCTCTTGCATGGGGAGAATTTTTTCTTATCCTGGAGTCTAGCTTTAAAATAACTATGATAGGATTTTGTCTGAAAAATGTTCATCTCTATGGACAGACCTCTGTAGATATGCCCTGACCAGCCACCAAAGGGGGAAGATGGTCTGGGATGGATACTCCCATCTGATCCCTATTGTTCTTAAAAAAGGAAAGCTGGTGCAAGGTGTGACAGCCAATGTAAAAATGTCTTTCTGCCAAGACTTAAAAAAAAAAACAATAATAATAATCTGCGAGGTCTTCTGTCTTGCTCTACAATGTCTATGGCTGGCTTTGAATTGTCTATAGGCATGGTATGACCATCACACTTAACCATGGGCAACAGTCTTGTGTCTGTGGTACAGTCATTTACAGCAGACCCATAATGTCTGTTAGAAACTATCAAGCAGCAGGTTTGAAAGTGTGGTCTGTCTATGATTCACATAAGCATATCCCCTCCCTTCTCCATCAACTTAAATATTAACATTCTAGCTGTAGGTCCCTTTCACACTTATCCAGGGTGCTTCTCCCATAGTGAGGGTGCAGCACAGCATATCTGCAGTTTTCATGCTTTGCCATAGACTTCTATTGTGTCCCGTGGTTTTGGTGCATTTTCTGAAAGCACACCAACAGTCTTGCATGCATTCTCCAACTATGTATGTACTGTATATATTAGATACTAAACCAGCAAAAACAAAACCGTTTTGGTTGGCTGTAACTGTATTCTTTAGATTGGAATAGATGCGTGAAAACTCAACATTAATTTAATTTTTTTTTTTTTTTTTTTTTTTTTAGACCCAAGATGGAGGGAAAACTACAGCTGCAGATGACCTCTCTCACTTCAGAACTTACTGCTGAGAAGAGCAAATTGTCTGATATACAGAAGGCCAATGATGGCCTTCAAGAACAACTGGAGAGCCTTCAGTCTGACATGTATGGAAAGGAGTCTGAAGTCTCAGCAATTCGCCAAGATCTAAAAGTATGACTTTTAAACGGATTGATTTTTTTTTTTAACATGTAATACGTGGATACTTATAAATACCAGTGGTAATAACAGCACAGTATATGCTTTAAGTTTCTGGTGTCTTTATCTCATTTTTTTTAAAGATGCTACATTACCAATCCTCACAAAAAGCTGCTGGAAAACAAAAATCATACTGATAGATGTAGAAGTATTTGGCCTATTGGTCAGTAATGGTTGTACTTGTCCTCTTTCACATTTCACATAAGCCAGGTATAAAGATATAAGTCGTAATGCAGTAAGCCTTCTGACTGTTATTTTAAACTACTTTTGCCATTCCTGCATACAGCATGCCATATAATACAATATACAAGACAATACAATATGGCAAATAATCTTTATAGCTTAGAGAATTGAGCCTATAGCATTAAAATATGGGCATGTACATAGCCATGTATTTACATGACCACACTGTTACCACAATTTGTATTTGTCATTAACCATTTTATTAAGGTTAGACTAATGTGTACACATTGTGGAAAGCCAACTAAAACAAATATAAATGTGTCCATAATGTGGTCTTTTAAATATTATTGGGAAACCTAGCCGCTGTGGTCACAGAATTCTAATAATAAATAAATGTATTTATATCTTTCATGAACAAGGTATTTATGATCCACCAGTTAAACTATATTTGCATTAGTATTCCTTATCAAATGAACATATTGACCATGTATGTATGTTTGCCTTTATTGTTTTTTAGTCTTTAGAGGAAAAGCTTGTATTAGCTCAGGAAGAGCTGAAGTCCAACAGAAATGAAATAGGTGGCCAAAATAAACAGCTCAAAGAACTAACCGCACTGAAGACCACCATGGAGCAGGACATATTGACGAAGACAAGCCAGCTGAAGGAGCATGGACAAACCCTGCAGGAGTTACAAGCACAGAAGGTATTTGTCAAAACGTATTTCCATTTTGTGCATTGTTTTAAAGTGTCTAGAACAAATTATTACTGGTTCAGTTTCCAAAAACAGCTCCAGTTTCTTGAGATTGCCTGTGCTGAAGGATATCTTCCCAGTTGGAGAAAAGATGAAAGATAAAACCCAATGTCATTACTATGTCTGTTGGAAAATGATGCTTAAAAACTGAACTCCAGGCTGATATAAATGGCATGTAGGTCTACTGTATTGCGCTAATCAGTAAATCATATAACCAAATGTGAACAGTTCAAAACAAAAATAGTGGAAATAATCATTTCCACAAATAATAATGAGAAAGTCCACACACTGTGTGAGTAAAAATAAATATTCCTCCAAAACATATTGAAGGGTGTTGCATTAGACCAGCAACCCCCACCAGAATGGTCAAAAAAGGGTACGAAATATATGTGCCCTTCTACTACAGAGAAGTCATAAATGGCATATGGTACAGGAATCCACTTCAACAACATCCCCACTGATCCTCCTTAGAGTCCTCTGATGGTCCAATTGATCCTACAAATATTCCCTTCCAGCCACCAACCACACATGCTCAGAAGGAAGCACAAGAGTAGATGCTCCACATAGAGAAAAAAATCCCCAAAGAACTTTTATTTTGTATAAATATTGCACTTACAGGCTTCAACAATGATTGCATATTAAAAAATAATTTCTGGTCGGCACATGGATCAGATTCCAGGTTGCTTCTGGTTATAGAATGACATCACCTTCTGGCTCCACCCTACACGTTTCATCACACGTGATGCCGTCTGGGGCTTGAGTGCCATGCTGATCCATCACTGTATATATACAGATAACTCAAACCTAAGCTAAGTTTTGGATTGCATTACATATAAAGGTGTTCCCGAAGCCAAGCCTAGCTTTGGACACAATTACAATCATATCCTCATACACCCGCTTTTTTATAAAACAAACCAAGTGTGATTGTATTAAAATAGGGATGTCAATGCATGAATGGATTTAGCCATATTCTATTAACCCAAATTTGGAATAGCATCAACTTGTGGGAGTTTAACATAAAGTCATTCTCCGACGGTTCAAAATGGATAAAAATTGGAAGACATCAGCTTCATCCTAAAAAAAAAAAAAAAAAAAAAAAAAAAGGACTAGGCGCTATTGGCTAACACCCACTTCTTTACAAAAAATCAAAGCAGTCCAATTAGAGGAAAAAAGGTTTCCATATTAAATTAATTAAAAAAAAAACATTCTACTGGACTATCCAAACAGAAATGTGTCTAATTAATAAAATATACATGATGAAAGTACAATAAAAATAATAAAAGCTGCAATTTTATTAATATTTTTTTAAGCAAATCCTTCTGGTTAAGTCAAGGGGGAAACCATTATATAGTCCCTTAAGAGGTGACCTTACTAGATCAAAAAAAATTATACATTTCTGCACTTAAAACAAATGCATCAGAGAGACATAAATTGAAGGAACAGCAGAATAAAATAGTAATGAAGAATGAGAATATCATGAGTTATTTATAAACCCATTGATGTCCCAATCCATATTAAGACCAAAGGTGGTAAAAGATTTAAGATGCACAAATTAATGCAGTTCTGCATTTGTTAACATATTCATATGTTACCAAATATGTTCATATGTTGTTTTGTTTGTTTTTTGTTTTTTTTTAAAGCAAATTTTGTCAGTACCTGAATTTGATTTGGTCTCAGTCTCTTGTACTTTCTGCACAGCAGCACTCAGACTGGGGGAGAGAGACAACATTTCTGTAATTAGCCATTTCCTGAGAGTTCAGCTTTAAAGGAATAAATGCAGAATATCCCTTATTACATTGAGTTTTGAAAAATATCTGAATTTAATCAGTGGGCCCTCTTACCTCCTTCTCTTGCCAATAATGGGCAGCTAATATGCAGTCAAGGACTTAACACGTTGAAAGATATTGTGGCTCTTCAAGAAAATGGAGCAGTGGCTGTGTGAAAAAGTACCTATTTTTGAGATTTTTTTTTTTTCTCAAGTATTGATTGTTAGAGGCATGGGTACTGCCTTTATGTTGGTCGTTAACAGCTGAGAGGAGCATTTCTAAGAAAAAAAAAATCTCTCTCTCTCCTCCCCCTCCTGTTATATCGCTGGCAACTGATTTAATGTTTTCTTTCGAGGAATGAACTTACATTGTAACACAATGCGATTTGATGCCTCTAGTTGTAGAGTCAGATTATATTACTCTATATGTCCTCTGTATCCTAATCATTTTTTTTTTTTTTTTTTTTTTAAGCGCACAATTTATTTTAAGTGAAAAATAATTGGTGCTGCGCTCATTTATTAGTGAAGCACCATCTATTTTTCACTTAGCATTGTTCCATTTGGTATATGGTAAGGTGTTAGCAGCTGTATATAAAGATTAGGTACTTAGAGCGTGGGAGGACTACATAGATACACAAATTATTTTCCTCCTCTATACCTTTGAGAAAAGAAAACTTTCAACCATTTAATTTCATCACAGGGCACATAAAATTAAGCACTCATACAAGAAAAATGTCATTAAATAAATATTACTTTCCTTTCCATAGCTCCATACACATTGAGACATATGAACTTCAATATCTATGTGATGTATACAGAGATGTTCCAATTTTTAAAGCCCAATTGCAGCTTTTACTCTTTTTTTTTTTTTTTTTTTTAACTTATTTTGGGATATAATGCAGGTGAAAGCTCGATTTTTCTTGATGATAAACTGTGAGGCACAATAGTATTCTGAACCAACTGTGATACCATCTGTGTCCTTACTCACACATTGCAGCATGCTGTTGCTTCATTTGGGTTTACTTGTACACTTTGGAATCAAATCAAAACACAGCACATAGCTCACATATGCAAAAAAAAATAAGAGTCCAAAATATTAGCATTCCTGTGCTCAGCAATCATTGATTATAAATTTTATGGTCACCAAGATGAGGAAATGGCTTGCTCAATACCTCATCTTTGGAGAGACTTTTGCTGTTGTGATATTAGGTTGTATTTGGTCACTGCCAATGCTTTTTTCAGGCCCTCATTGACAAACAATTGAGTGAAGAAAGAGCCAGTGCCACTAATTTGAATGCCGTAAAGGGAAAGTTAGAAGGTGAACTAACCAAAAAACGTGATGAACTCAAGAATGTTAAAGAAGAATTCCAAAAGGTAATTTTCCTAAATTGTATTTTTTAATATAATAGAAAATGTGTATGGGATATTTCAGAGCATATGCCATAACTACTGTGTATATTAAAGTGATATTGAGCCCTCCGTTTTCGAAGCTCTTTTAGTAGCTGATTTAATCACTTACTGAGTATGCAGCATCTTTATCTTATAATCGTTTTCAGTTTAGGCACGTACCCTGACCATTTCCCTATGTTGCCTGTTTCAGGGCGGATTTTTGCTCTTTCGCCATTCTGTGGAGCCCCCCCCCCCCCCCCCCCCCCCCCCCCGAAAATACAGGGACTAGAGTTGCCTCCCTACACCATGTGCATCAGTAGAAACACACAATCCCATAGCCTTGGATGGCACGGCACTCTCCTGTTCCTCTCTCCTCACCCCCCCTTTTCTTCAAACTAGGACTGGCTTGAGTCTGCACTGTCTACGGTTATCTTCTTTGAAGACCAGAAGTGCAGGGAAGCAGCATTGTGGGGGCAGGAACCAGCAGTATTGAAGGTTGTAAACTGTAATTGCCGGGATATGAATTTTAACCAGTTAAATAATTTACTGGGGAAAGTTTATTGTGCTCATTGTGTTAAACTAAATGCTGAGGCTTTAATACTACTTTAAGGGTAAATCATAATGTCATAGGTCTGCATATGGATGATTGACCACTTTGGGGACCATCCGCCCACAGTTGTACTGTGTCAGGTGGCCTGTACGGGCACAGTGACATACCTGTATGTCGCTGCCTGTTTCCAGGTACAGGGTGGCTAGTGCTACTGCTGACTCCCACTGATATTGTACACAGCATAAGTTTGTCAACAGATCCAAGCCAGTGATTCATGGCCGGGACCTGTGTTGATTGTCAGCACAGAGCCCCGTGTTGATAATCAACACAGGGCTCTGTAAAAAGGGAAACATATTTAGTAAAAAACAGCACATATTAACACCTATTTAGGCACACATTTAACCGCTTGATTACCCAAGATGGTAACCCCTTCCCAGCCTGGGTCATTAGTACAGTGACACTATAGTATTATTACTGTATTAGTGTCACTGGAGATGTCAGTGGCAATTAGTCAGTTCCCACTCAATGTCAGTGTCAGACTGGCTGCTGCACTATCACAGTCCCACTACAAGTCGCTGATCACTTCCATTACTAGTATAAAAAAAAAAATCCAGTATATATACCATCGTTTGTAGACGTCATCGTTTTCACACAATCCAATCAATGAACACTTATTGGGATTTTTTTTTCCGAAGACAGAATACATTTTGACCTAAATTTATGAAGAAATTAAATTTTTTTAAAAAAAAAAAGAAAAGTAAAAAATATTGTTTTGGGGTTTTTTTTTCAAAATGTTTTCTGTAAGGGTAAAGAGGGAAAGGATATGTAACATACGTACTATGTACTTAAGTGAGGTTTGTTTAGGCATAAGTAACAAGCCCAAGGTCTGTAACTGTTTGTAAACAATTCAGAGGTAACTCTTTATTGCAGGTGGAAGTAAAATGAGCAAGGCTAACCATAGATGATGCTATTTTCTTTCCTGCAACCATGGGTTGCAAGAAAGAAAATCGCTCAATTCCCCCATCAACACAGTGTTGACAGTGGAATCCCTCCCACTGAGCCATTGTGTTCTCACTCAGAGCCTGCTCTACTCTTTGGGCAGCTGGGAGTAAGCAAACTCTGCTGTTCGTTTTACATCTGATCACTCTCTGATCCATCTAACCTGAAGAGGATGGATCCCCTTCTGTTTTTTTTTTGTTTTTGGGGGGTTTTTTTGTTTGTTTTTGGGGGGGGAGGTTGTTTGTTTTTTAGCGGAACGGATCAGATCTGTAGGTAGACAGGTGTAAACGGACACAATTCTGTATACACCCACCTGTCCATAGGGCTGTATAGGCTATCCGATCAGGTCTGCCTGAAAAACATGGACCTCCCATGTGAAAGGGGCATAAAACCTTAAAGTAAACATTATTTATATTTGTATTGCATTTTTACAACTGTGTGAACTGAATAGCAATTTTCTGAAAAAAAAAAAATAGCAGTCACAACAGCTCTATGGATAACTTCATAGAATGACAATGGTCATAATGGAAGCATAAGCAACTATCTTTTTGTATTAAACTCTATTCAAAGTATGTCCTCTTCTCACAGCAAACAAGCAGTTTAGAGGAAGCCAAACAGCTACTGATTCAGCAGAAGCTTGAGCTGCAGGGTAAGCTTGAGGGCTCTACTACAGCTCTTCAGCAGGAGAAGAAACTACAGCAGACCTTGAAAGATGACATAAAAAGGAAGGAAGAAGAATGGAAAAAGCAGCATATAGAGGTGCAGAATAAATTGGTAAGTGGCCAATGTCCCTAGCATTTATAAAATAAGTATTATACGTATGTAATCTGGTTGTCTCCTAGATTTTCTAGATTAAAACAGTATTTTGTAAAAAAAAAAAAATAATAACATTTAGTGGTGCTTAGCTGTTAATACATTTGCCATATTTTGAAGGAATACTATGCATTTGCTCCATACAAATAACTGTTTTCACTTTTTTTTTTCTTTGCAACAAATTAGACTACAGAAACAAAGGAAAAAGAGGAGCAGAGGAAGAAACATGAAGAGAACGAGTCAAAGCTCAACATGCAAATCACTGCTTTAAATGAAAATTTGGCTACTTTAAAAAAAGAATGGCAGAGTAGTCAGCGCAGAGTCAGTGACCTGGAAAAGCAAACTGATGACCTGCGAGGAGAAATTGCAGTGCTGGAGGCAACAGTCCAAAATAACCAGGATGAGAGACGTGCACTTCTAGAAAGGTGGGTTCTGTGCACTTTGCCTGGGGAACATACACCACATGTTATCTGTTAACCTTTATATTAGAGGGGTGAGAATGGATTCTATACTGTTTGCCTGGGGAACATACACCACACATTATCTGTTGACCTTTATATTAGAGGACTGCAGTGTTGCGTGTGTGTATCACTCAAATGACCATTTACATTGTTCCTCATGTAATATGTCCTGTATCTGTCACCCAAGGTTTCTCTGCAGTGGGTGGCTTCCTTCTTTTATAACTAGAGGTATCCCCACATATATTTTGGAAATTCCACAAATATTTTGACAAAACTAAAACCTATATGGAGCTCATGGCAATCTTGTTTATGTAGAACAGCCATTCTCAACAAGGTTCTTTGGAAGCCCAGGGGTTCCTCCAGAGTTTGCTAGGTGTTCCTTGAGTTGTGGCTGATTGACCTCCCATTTGATGGTGCCTGCATAATTCCAGGGCCAATGCCTTTTAGCAGAGGCAGCTGCACGACACCATTTTATTCTTAGCTGTCTGTAAGGGTGGTATTCTGACCACCATTGTAAAGATAGATATTCTTTCTACTGGCCACCAGTATAGGTGGAATTTTTCCTATCGACCTGAACTGGTTTTAGTAAGGGTTTACCAACACATGAAAAGTATTTTAAGAGTTCCCAGGTACAAAGATTTTAGAGAGCCTGATTTAGAAGATAAAACCTTGTTGGCTGTAGTTTGCAGCAGCTATTGCTCTTTTGCTCCTTCTTAGTTGAATTATTTTGATGATGTGGGGTTTGTTTCAGTGAAATATTGTTGAAATTAAAGTGGAACTCCAGGCACACTTTTTTTTTTCTTTTCTTTTTACATTGCTGTTTCTTTACCTGTTTGCTTCCTGTGCCAGAAACACAGCAGAAAATGAGAAGAAATCACCACAAAGGGGGGACAAATTCCACCACTGACAGTTGTCCCTTTTCAGATTTCCTCTGTTTCATTGACATTGTTACTAGGAAAAGAAATGAGGATAATAATCCTTCTGAATCGCAATATATTTAAAAAAAAAAAAAAAAAAAGCCAGAGAGAAACAAATGATTCAGTTTTTTTCATGATATTATGGGTTCACCAGTTGTTCTAAGCCCTAAGGAGTGTCTTTTACGCATTCTGAACAAACAAGGCTTTGCTAAATATGATGTAACATTTCTGTGTGAAAATCTGTTTATCGCCTGTATGTTGGTAGCTAAATATTGGGTGTTTGTTTTACCACCAACTAGGGCACTATGGATCTCTGAGGTAAATTATATTCTAATGCAGGGCTTGAAATTTCCCCTCGCCTGCTCGCCAATGGCGAGTGGAAATTATGGTGGGGCCGAGTGTGTCCCCCAGGGTCATCTTGCTGAGCAGGCTCGGAGCTCAGGTTAGATCTGTCATTGGCACTGTGAGCCATCAGTATTGCTCAATAGGTGAGCGCAGTGAAAGCAAAGCAAGGAGTGTGTGTCGTGCTCTCTGCCTCCCCCTAGAGTGCAGTACCCAGCTCTGTGAGTGAACAACGAAGTACTGCAACTTTTTATGGGGGGTGGTGGTGGTGTGTGTGTGTACATGTGTGTGTGTTTGTGTGTGTCTGTGTATGCATGTACAATTGTACGTGTGTGTGTTTGTGTGTATGTACGTACATGTGTCTGTGTGTACATGTATCTGTGTGTATCTACATGTGTCTGTGCGTGTGTATTTCTGTGTATGTACATGTATCTGTGTCTGTACGTGCCTGTGTGTGTGTACATGTGTCTCTGTGCATGTGTGTACATGTTTCTGTGTGTGTGTGTGTGTGTGTGTGTGTGTGTGTGTATATGTACATGTCTGTGTGTGTGTACAGGTGTCTCTGTTTGTGTGTGTTTGTTGTTGTGGCGAGTAACTTTAAGGCCTGGCAAGTAGCTCAGGACTTGAAATTTTAAGTCCTAAAAATGTATATTTTATAAATACATTTTCAAAAAAATCAGGACAATGAGAAGTAGAAAGTCATGTTCTACTTCAATACATTTTGTAATACAGTATTAGTATGATCGTACATGTGATGACACAGCAATTGATAAGAATGGAAAGCAACAGATTATGTTTATAACTAGAACATGAGGGGAGTTTCACTGCAGCTAGATTGCAGATTCCAACAATTTCTTTTTTTTAAGTGGGTCACTTTTGCAGGCTGGTGTCATCTGTAATTTTTCTTTTTTTTTTTTTTTTTTGCATTGTTTTTTTTTTTATTAAAATAACAAACATGTTATACTTGCCTGCTCTGTGTAAAAGTTTTGGTTTTGCACAGAGCAGCCCCAATCCTCCTCTTCTCTGGTCCCCTCCTGCATGCCCCCAGAGCAAGTTGCTTGCTCTGGGGGCACTCGGATGTGCTCGCTCCTGAGTCGGCTCTGTGTGTCCATGAGACAATACAGAGTGTGGCTCAGCCCCGCTCTTTTCAGATATTTATTTGTAAAAAATTTTGAAAACCATTTATCATTTTCCTTCCACTTCACATTTATGTGCCACTTTGTGTTGGTCTATCACATAAAATCCCAATAAAATACATTTACATTTTTGGGTGTAACATGATAAAATATGGAACATTTCCAGGGGTATGAATACATTTTCAAGGCACTGTATGTGTGAGTCCTTGTTGGAGAGTAAATCCTCATGCACACTGCGCTTTTTAAAAACTCCAGTAGCATTAGCTGTATAAAGTTGCGTTAAAAACGCACGGTTTTTGCTCAATAAAAGCTGCAAAAGCCCGGTTTGCCGCATTTTGCCACGTTTACAAGCGCTAGAGCATTTTTACAGCTAAAAAACACCCCTAGAAACCCACTAGTTCTGTTTTTTTTTTTTCCTGCAAAAAACGCTGATTACAGTCTGTGTGCATGGACACATAGGATAATATGCTGGGGAGTTTACTGGCTGTAGAAAAAAATGTCAAAATCCAAAAACAGCCGCTGTAAAAACATCCAGTGTGCATGAGGACTTAATGTGGAGCTGGGCTTTGTTTTCTTTTCTTCTTTTTTTTTTTTTTTTTTTGTTCTTTGTAAATTCTTTCTTTAATAGTATCAAGGTCACATTGCAGAAAAGGCACAGTTTGAATATATTTATGACAGAGGCCAAGATAAAATGAAAAATGTATATAAACTGATGTGATAAATGATAAATAAGCATTACTTGAAACGTATAACAATGAAAACTCTGCACCACAGGCAAAACCAAAAATAAGGAAACATGGGTGTGATTGTGGCTGCTGCAGTCTTCAAAATGTGCCTAACTTCCACATTTGTGGACCCTATAAATGTGTATATAGACCGTGTTGACAAAAATTTGAATCAAGGTTACTAAACGGTTTGCCACATGTAAAAGTGCAAAAAATAGATAAATAAACAACACCAAAAAATCCAACTGATGTCCAGTATCTCAGTAATTCCCATTCAAATAATAGTTACTTAAAAAACAAAAGATTGGTGAACAGGTGTTGGTGTCATTAGTTACCGATAAACAGGATGGACCACAATGGATGGACCTTCTGTTCCTAGGTAGGTATCACTGCACTTTTTTGGTTGGACCCACTGTGTGTCTTGTCACCAACGTGGCTATTCATATGTACCAGGATGCGATTTCTTCCAATGCAATACACCACCACTGAAAAAAACAGTATCAGGGAAAAGGTTCATTGCACAAAGCAGCCAACTTTATTAAACGATATAAAACCTTACAATTAGACCGCACCCACATGTATATGTGCCTAAAGACTGGAGCTAGGTACATACAGCCCTTATGGTTAAGATGGCTGTCGCCGTCCCGAGTCCAGAAGCTGGCTTGGAAGCCTAATGAAGACGTCCAATTACAGACGAAACTAAATGAAGCCGTGTTCCTCAGCCAATACATTGCATCCCATCCCTGGAGCGGAAGCCAGCTTCTGGTCTCGGGCGGTGGCAGCAATCTTAACCACAAGCGCTGTACCTGGTGCCAGTCCGTAGACACATATATACATGTGTGTGCGATCAGATTGTTAGGTTTTATATGTAATATTAAATAATGTAACAAGAAAATAAGCTGCTTTACGCAGTACTAGAAGGTCCATCCATTGTGGTGAGTGGAAATCCATGTGGGGGTCACCTGGAGCACCTGGAAGTGGTTACCTGTTTATCTGTTACTAAAGTGAATGCTTTGAGTTTTTTAACACTTGCAATAGACAATTTCTTCAGTCCTTGAGATATATAAAAAAAAAGGAAATTTCTTCAATTCCAAGGAAAACCAAAAGGGGAAAAAAAGGAACAGAGCTCACAAGCCAAAGAATAGCAAAATTCCAGGAGGAAGGGACAAACAGGTGCAAGAGGCAGGAGGAGAGAAAGAACAGTCACCATTTTGGTCCAATGATAATAACCTAGAGTCACACGATCTAAGTACCTATATTTTTTTTTTTTTCTATTACTGAGAATATACAAAGTCTGTTCAGTAGTACCACATACTTCTAAATTTTTCTTCACAAAAGTACAGAATCACCGTCCTTCATCTGAGCTTTAATCTAAAAAATATATCTTTCTTTGCACTCTTTAAGTTTTAAAGAGTACCCAAGAGTAGAGGTCTGATATAGTGCAACTTACCAACCCTTTGAGTTGGCTGTATTTGTTTGGTTTTTTCAGTATTTTTTTCACCTGGTGACTGCTAGTAAAATACTTACTAATTTATAAGAAAAGACATTTATCATTATGGCATACATATACTAAAAATAATCAGTAGCTTCTTCATAATTACATACAAAATTTGGACATGAATTCTTAACTCATTTCATCTGTTGTTAGGTATCTGAAAAGTGAGGGAGAAATTGAAAAGCTGCAAGCCAAAATTGTTGAACTACGGAAGAAGGTAGATGAAACCACTTACGCCATGGAGGAGCTTGGTAGAGAAAATCAGTCCCTACAGGTGAGACTTTGGCTGGTTGGACACTGCCTTACAATAAGTCAAGTAAGGTGAAGAGATTTTTGAAAGTGAATTCAACGGTTTCCCAATTCTTTGTTAGGCCCTTTAGGAATATGTCTATTTCTGCATATTGACTTGTATTTCTGCATATAGAATTTAGGTTAAAGTGGAATTAAATCAGGAGGCATTTAGTAGAAAACTGCTTGTTCCCAGTCTTTTATTAAATGTACACGGAGCAGCGTAAGCGCAGCTCAGCATTCATTCTCAGCACTGGGCCATTGTGCCAAGATGAATGACTCCTGTACACTTGTGCGGGAGTCACGTTATCTTCTGTCGACCAATCACCCAGGAGAAACCCGGGGAGAAGATGTCAGTGGCCAACGCGGGATTCAACAGTAGCATCGCTGGAACAGAGGTGAGCATTCTGAGCTTTAACTGTATCAAGTAAAATACACTGTCCTATTTTCCTAATGACCTCTTCCAAGGGGATTCATATGGTTTCTTTTCCACATCACAGATAAAACATAGTCAGGCCCTTAACAGGAAGTGGACAGAGGATCATGAAGTACAAAACTGCATGGAGTGTGGGAAAAATTTCTCTGTAACAATAAGAAGGGTAAGTGAATAATATTTTCTTACAGTTATGGTAAAAAACACTCCAAATAGGGACTACATTTATGACTACATGTCTGAAGGCTCTTACAAACTAAAGGCAGACATCCAGCATGAACTGACCTGGATGATCTTTACTGCTTTGATTAGGAAGCTTGTTTCTTGTCTACTTCCAAGCACCAATTTTTTTTCTCTTTTCTATAATGCTTGTCAAAGATGGCACACAGACCTCCTGTTTTTTTGTTGTTGTTTTTTTTACAAACAATTAATGCCAACTAATGCAAAATAGGGCACTAACTATTACTGTTTTGTGTGTTGTTCAAATAATTCATACAGCAGCACACTAAATTGAAAAGAAAGGAAATTTAAAAAGCATTTCAGTGAAAAGTAATTTTGGCCACAATAGTTTGTTTTTGAAACGCTCTAAATGAGACTTTACTTTCTACTTTGGTGTCCTAAATTCTGGAACGGGCACTCCTTACCCATAGGTAATTCAGTTCTATTCCAGGGCTAACTCGGTCAGGTGACTGATATCTAATGTCTGTAGATGACTGTTTTCAGTCCCCAAACAAGCTATACAGTATCTCACAGAAGTGAGTACACCTCTCACATTTTTGTAAATATTTTATTCTATCTTTTCATGTGACAACACTGAAGAAATGACACTTTGCTACAATGTAAAGTAGTGAGTTTACAGCTTGTATAACAGTGTAAATTTGCTGTCCCCTCAAAATAACTCCTCACACAGCCATTAATGTCTAAACCGCTGGGAACAAAAGTGAGTACACCCCTAACACTCTTCCTATCACTCCATCCCCCATAGCTATTTCCTCCTGTACCACATCCCCTCCTTCCTAGATTGTAAGCTCCAAGAAGCAGGGCCCTCGAACCCCTCGTGTATTGTATTGTTACTGTGCTGTCTTGTGTACTGTCTCCCATTATATTGTACAGCGCTGAGCAAACTGTTGGCTATATAAATACTGTATAATAATAAGAGAAAATGTCCAAATTGGGCCCAAAGTGTCAATATTTTGTGTGGCCACCATTATTTTCCAGCACTGCCTTAACCCTCTTGGGCATAGAGTTCACCAGAGCTTCACAGGTTGCCACTGGAATCTTCTTCCACTCCTCCATGACGACATCACGGAGCTGGTGAATGTTAGAGACCTTGCCCTCCTCCACCTTCCATTTGAGGATGCCCCACAGATGCTCAATAGGGTTTAGGTCTGGAGACATGCTTGGCCAGTCCATCCCCTTTACCCTCAGCTTCTTTAGCAAAGCAGTGGTCGTCTTGGAGGTGTTTGGGGTCGTTATCATGTTGGAATACTGCCCTGCAGCCAGTCTCCGAAGGGAGGGGATCATGCTCTACTTCAGTATGTCACAGTACAAGTTTGCATTCATGGTTCCCTCAATGAACTGTAGCTCCCCAGTGCCGGCAGCACTCATGCAGCCCCAAACCATGACACTCCCACCACCATGCTTGACTGTAGGCAAGACACACTTGTCTTTGTACTCCTCACCTGGTTACCACCACACACGCTTGACACCATCTGAACCAAATAAGTTTATCTTGGTCTTATCAGACCACAGGACATGGTTCCAGTAATCCATGTCCTTAGTCTGCTTGTCTTCAGCAAACTGCAGGTTTTTGTGCATCGTCTTTAGAAGAGGCTTCCTTCTGGGACGACGGCCATGCAGACCAATTTGATGCAGTGTGCAGCATATGGTCTGAGCACTGACAGGCTGAGCCCCCCCACCCCTTCAACCTCACAGCAATGCTGGCAGCACTCATACATCTATTTCCCAAAGACAACCACTGGATATGACGCTGAGCACGTGCACTCGGCTTCTTTGGTCGACCATGGTGAGGCCTGTTCTGAGTGGAACCTGTCCTGTTATGGTCTTGGCCACTGTGCTGCAGCTCAGTTTCAGGGTCTTGGCAATCTTCTTATAGCCTAGGCTATCTTTATGTAGAGCAACAATTCTTTTTTTTTTTTTTTTAAGATCCTCAGAGAGTTCTTTGCCATGAGGTGCCATGTTGAACTTCCAGCGATCAGTATGAGAATGAGAGCGATAACACCAAATTTAACACACCTGCTACCCATTCACACCTGAGACCTTGTAACACTAGGGAGTCACATGACACCAGGGAGGGAAAATGGCTAATTGGGCCCAATTTGGAATTTGTTTTTTTTACTTAGGGGTGTACGCACTTTTGTTGCCAGCAGTTTAGGCATTAATGGCTGTGTGTTGAGTGATTTTGAGGGGACAGCAAATTTACAGTGTTATACAAGCTGTACATTCACTACTTTACATTGTAGCAAAGTGTCATTTCTTCAGTGTTGGCACATGAAAAGATATAATAACATATTTAAAAAAATGTGAGGGGTGTACTCACTTCTGTGAGATACTGTATATACACTCATGACATTTGGCTTGTTGGTGAGGTGGAATAATGAACCATCTTGGAAGTTGCATTTAAATTTCTGTTTACAAAGATCATAATGTTGCCATTTTTCTTGAGGGCACGCACGCACACACACGCACACACACACACACAATGTATGGGTGGGCGGATGTAAACAGATGATCATATAGGTGTGATGGTCAAACAATTGGCATTGTATTTTAGTGCTGCTAAATATCTAGGCAAAAATGTGGTTTCTGGGGTTGAATCCTACCTGTACACTTGTATGTTCTGGTCATGTTTGGTGGGTGTCCTCCAGGTACATACAGTTAGGTCCATATATATTTGGACACAGGCACAATTTTAGTTTTTTTCAGGTATTGACCAAAACATATTCAAGCTATAGTTATATAATGGATATGGGCTCAAAGTGCGCACTCTCGGTTTAATTTGAGGATATGTACATCCAAATTGGAGGAAGGGTTTAAGAATTACAGCTCTTAAGAATAGCCATCCCCCCTTTTTCAAGGGACCAAAAGTAATTGGACAATTGAATCAAAAGCTGTTTCATGGCCAGGTGTGGACTACTCCTTCGTTATTTCTGTGGAGTTGATTCTAAATGTGGTATTTACATTTGGAATCTATTGCTAAGAACCTACGTCATGCATTCTAAGGAGCTGTCCATGCAAGTGAAACAGTCCATTGTAAGGCTTCAAAAATGAAACAAATCCATCAGAGAGATAGCAGCAACATTAGGAGTGGCCAAATCAATAATTTTGTACATTCTGAGGAAAGAAGAACACACTGGTGAGCTCAGTAACATAAAAAGGCATGGACGTCCACAAAAGACAATAGTGGTGGATGATCGCATGATCCTCTCTACACTAAAGTAAAACTCATTCACAACATCCAGACAAGTGAAGGACACTCTCCAGGAGGTGAGTGTATCATTGTCAAAGTCTACAGTCAAGAGAAGACTTCACAAGAACAAATACAGAGGGTTCACCACAAGGTGCAAACCATTCATAAGCCTGAAGAATAGAAAAGCCAGATTAGACTTTGACAAAAAACATCTAAAAAGCCAGACCAGTTCTGGAAAAGTATTCTTTGGATGGATGAAACTAAGATTAATCTGTATCAGAATGATGGGAATAAAAAAGTGTGGAGAAGACTTGGAACAGCTCATGATCCAAAGCACACATGTCATCTGTAAAACATGGTGGAGGCAGTGTGATGGCATGCATGGCTTCCAGTGGCACTGGGTCATTGGTGTTTATTGATGATGTGACAGAAGACAGAAGCAGCCAGATGAATTCTGCAGTGTTTAGAGATATACTGTCAGCCCAGATTCAGCCAAATGCAGAAAAGTTGATTGGACGGCGCTTCACAGTACAGATGGACTATGATCCAAAACACACTGCAAAAGCAACCCAGGAGCTTTTGAAGGAAAAGAAGTGGAATATTTTGCAATGTCCAAGTCAATCACCTGATCTCAACCTAATTGAGCATGCATTTCACTTACTGAAGGCAAAACTAAAGGCAGAATGATCCACAAACAAAGAACAACTGAAGACAGCTGCAGTTAGAGCCTGGCAAAGCATCAGAAAGGAAGAAAACCCAGTCTTTGGTAATGTCCATGGGTTCCAGACTTCAGGCAGTCATTGCCAGTAAAGGATTCTCAATAAAAATATTAAAAATGAACATTTTATTTATGATTAAAGTTGCAAGAAAAAGTATGTGAACCCCTTGGGATTACGGGGAGTTTTGCATGAATTGGGCATAAAATGTGCTCTGAACGTCATCTAAGTCACAACAATAGAAGAACACAGTCTGCTGAACATAATAGTACACAAACATTAGATGTTGCCATGGTTTAATTGCACATACCATGTAAACATTCACAGTGCAGGGAGGAAAAAGTATGTGAATCTTTGGACTTAATAACTGGTTGACCCTCCTTTGGCAGCAATAACCTCAACCAAACGTTTCCTGTAGTTGCAGATCAGACCTGCACAACGATCTGGAGTAATTTTGGACCACTCCTCTTCACAAAACTGTTTGAGTGTAGCAATATTCTTGGGATGTCTGGTGTGAATCCCTCTCTTAAGGTCATACCACAGCATTTCAATCGGGATGAGGTCAGGACTCTGATTGGGTCACTCCAGAAGGCGTATTCTGTGCTGTTGCAGCCATTGTTTTGTTGAATTACTTGTATAATTTGGGTCATTGTCCTGTTGCATCACCCATCCTCTGCGGAGCTTCAGTTGGCGGACAGGTGGTTGTACGTTTTCCTGCAAAATGTCTTGATAAACTCTGGAATTCATTTTCCTATCAATGACAACAATCCGTCCAGGCCCTGAGGCAGCAAAGCAGCCCCAAACCATGATGCTCCCTCCGCCATGTTTTAGAGTAGGGATGAGGTTTTGATGTTGGTGTGCTGTGCCTTTTTTTTCTCCACACATAGTGTTGTGTGTTCTTCCCAAACAACTCAATCTTGGTTTCATCTGTCCACAGTATGTTTTGCCAGTAGTGCTGTGGAACATCCAGGTGCTCTTTTGCAAACTTCAAATGTGCTGCAATATTCTTTTTTGGACAACAATGGCTTCCTCCGTGGTGTCCTCCCATGTACTCCATTCTTGTTTAATGTTTTCCTTATTGTAGATGTGTCAACGAAAATTTCTGTAGGTCTTTAGCTGACACTCTGGGATTCTTCTTTACCTCATGCAGCATTCTGCGCTGTGCTCTTGCAGTCATTTTTACAGGACGAACACGCCTAGGGAGAGTAGCAACAGTGCTAAACTTTCACCATTTGTAGACAGTCTGTCTTACCGTGGACACATGAACATCAAGGCTTTTGGAGATACTTTTGTAACCCTTTCCAGCTTCATGCAAGTCAACATTTCTTGATCGTAGGTCTTCTGAGAGCTCTTTTCTGCGAGGCATGGTTCACATCAGACAGTGCTTCTTAAAACCAGTAAACCCAAAACAGGTGTGTGTGTGTTTTTTAAGGGTGGGACAGCTGTCAGCAACACATCCAATATCATCACACTGATTGGAGTCAAGGTTGGCTCACTCCTGGCTCCAATTAGCTCTGGGAGAAGTCATTAAGCTAGGGCCTCACATACTTTTTCCTCCCTACACTGTGAATGTTTACATGTTATGTGCAATTAAACCATCGCAACATCTAATGTTTGTGTAGTATTATGTTCAGCAGACTGTGTTCTTCTGTTGTTGTGACTTAGATGACGTTCAGAGCACATTTTATGCCCAATTCATGCAAAACTCCACGTAATCCCAAGGGGTTCACATACTTTTTCTTGCAGCTGTATATTCATTTGTCCAATTACTTTTGGTCCCTTGGAAAAGGAGGGATGGCTACTCTTATGAGCTGTAATTCCTAAACCCTTCCTCCAATTTGAAAAAAAACTAAAATTGTGCCTGTGTCTAAATATATATGGACCTAACTGTACTTGCAGGATTATTGACTTTCATTGACATTGCATCTAATATGTACATAAGAGTGCTAGAAAGACTAAAGTGTGAGCTCTTCTAGGAGATAGGGACTGCTGATAATTTATTTGCTTTGTAAAAATATACATTCTTATGAGTAAATAAATGTGTAACCAGTACACTGTTATACCACAAGTGCTTTAAAATAAACTGCTTTTGTTTTGTTTTCAGCACCACTGTAGACACTGTGGAAATATCTTCTGTGCAGAATGTTCTTCAAAGAATGCCTTAACGCCTTCTTCCAAGAAGCCAGTCCGTGTTTGTAATACATGTTTTAATGACTTGCAAGGATAGGAGCCGCTCCCTACTCAGATCCCTCCAAATTACATTTAGTATTTTTTTTTCTTTTGTTATTGCACTCATAAAGCACTCAAAGTACTTACTCCTTTGGATGAAGATTGTACAATTTGACAAACACAAAATCCTTTTGAAATGTTTTATTGATACAAAGTAAAATTATTGTATTTTTCATAAAAGCCCAGTTTGAGGGGATCCTTCTTTTTTTTTTCCCTGCACATCCCTTTTCTGTTAGCTGCCATCTCCGTTTTGTTTGGCTGCCTGTAAATAGTAGGCTGACAGAGAAGTAACTATGTATTTTTTATACATAAATTGACAGTAAACCAGGAATCACATAAGTCTGAAGTTAGGTTTTTGTTGCCTAATGGCAAAGCTGTAAAACTATGGAAGGATCTATTTTTTTAATGACCATAGCCCTAAGTAAGCAGTGTTGTACACCAGTGTTTCTAGTTGTGCATGCTTACACACTGAGGACAAATGAATGCTCCTGAACTCTTCAAGTCTCACCTATCACTTTTCTAATTTATCATTTGTACTAAAGCTGATCTGTGTCTGTGTATTGAAAACCTTCCTTGCATCTGTGGTATTTTACAGTTACGACACTTTCCTCATTTGAATTGAAGTCACAGAGATCAGTTTTAAAAGCCCACTCCGCTGGCCAAATATTTTTATATATTCTGACATCATGCAGTTATTGTGCCACATGTTGCATAGTAGCTATCTAAGTTATGTGACTAACAACGGGGCAAAGTTCAGCATTTTTACACTAGACCATGGCTCCAATGTGCATCTGTCCTCTCTAAACCTTTTTTGTGGGCTTCTACAGTAGTTATTTCACTTCCCATGAAAATAACAAATTCTTAACTCCCACTAACAAAATAATTGTGTATTATAGGTTGTATAATATTTCTTTCCAGAGTGTTTTTTAACGTTTCTCATCTAATAAGCGCTGGAAGATGATTGCAAATTGACTTTGTTAAATATGTCATATATGTTAAATTGTAGGATTAATACTAAAGAAAGACACAGCAAGTTTCCCAGTTCATAGATGCAAGATATATGGTTCTTTTTACCCATGAATGACTGCCATCACCATGTTTAGATTTCAAGCAATATAATTCTGACCACACTAAAAGCCAAGTTGTATGGCCGATGCATCCAATATTGATTAGAAAGCTTACAGTTAAACTTCAGCCAAACAACAAAATACACAGATAATGTGCATATATGGGAGCTGTTTTACCTGCCAAATAATTTCTATATTTGTACATCCAGCTCTGAGATCCCTAGGCAGAAAACCTAATTTTAATATGCTGCAGTCACATATCATTTACAGGTTTTTACCCAAGCTTGTAACTGAACAGCGAAAGAAGAATTGTCAGGAGGAGAGAGCAGAGAGATGTGATCATCAGTCTATCAGCCTGACACATCTTCGTACATGAGCATTGCAGCAGAACTGACTGGCCCTTTATATTGTGTCCCCAGTTTGAGGCCAGCTGTACAGAGCCTGTAAGTTGCTGGTACAAAGTCATATTCAACTATACTGCTTAGAATTAAAATGATTTCATTGTGAATTAATAAAGCGCTGCATTAATTTGTGATTTTATATATGACTGGAATTCAGCTTTGCAAATGATAACTATTACTGTTTGTGGTAGTCTGATTGTTACACAAGGAGTCTAAACACTTCCCCCAGTTTACACTGTAGAGAAAGTCCGCTGCCACCTGTCAGCAAAGCTCCTGCTTCCTGCAGATTGGAGAGCTCTAGCCCTGACTTAGCAGGGGGTCATCAGACCTCTGCTTCAACACAGATCCACATCTTTTTTATTTATTTATTTTTTTTAAGAATGGCAATTGGGTTTTACCCTTTGCTAATGATGATAATCCTTTAGTTGAAGTGGATTTGCTCATATCAGACCCAGTGCTAGGAATAAAAACGCTAATTCTTTAGATTTAACTTAGAGATATTCAGACATGCCAATAAAAGCAGAACTTCAGCAAAAAAAAAATAAGCCTTTGGTTATTGGAATCACCCTGGCTATATAGGTTTTTGTACCTAAATGCCAATATTACAAATTACAGTATGGCCCCATCTTCAGTGCCCGACTGTCGTTTCCAGGCTTCGTTTTGCTTTCTTGAAAGCTGTGTGATAATGACAAGTCATAGTATTCACAATATTGTAGGTGCACCTAATACATTGGTGGGGATGTGTGAATCAAAAAAGTGACTGAAGAGATGTTAAAATATTTTGGCAGTAAAAACAATTCAAATATATGTATTTGAACTTTGTGTTTAGCTTTTTGGCTTGATGTTCTTTTTGTCATAATTTACATCTGAATAAGCACTGTCTGTACCCTACTTCTGTTTTTACTTTTTGATAGATGCCCTAAGCTTACATGTTCAGAATGTGTTTTGTCAGAACACTTCCACAGCCATTGAACTGCCTGTATCAGATTCTGCTGGCTCTGTGTGCAATGCCGAGAGTTTACTAGGCTGGAAAGCTGTTCCTGACGTTGAGAGCTGCTATTCAACCTTGTGTTTGCTATTTTAAAAGGATTCGGTTTCTGATTTCCTTGTGATATCCTATAATTTAAGTGCATCAGAATCTTCTGCATCCCCTTCATTTTATTGTTATTAAACATCATGGATATAACTCGGTTCTGAGGTCAGAGTAGGGCATGGACATCAGAAGTAAACACACTTTCTTTCCTGCTTTTTTCTTTGTACGCATTTACCAATTCTACAAAGGGAGAGGCTAGTAAAATGAACTGGCACATATCAGGCCTCTTTCATTCTCACCTAGGAGCAAACAAAGCACAAAATATACTTGGCTAATAAAGTTCAGGCACAACATCCTTATCTGAAATGTCCACAGCAGTCCTCTCTTCCTTGGTGTGCCCTGCTGATGGTATCCTCGTAATCTATCTGTATCAGTAATACAGAAGCTATTCTGTACTTCAGATCTGAAATTCACTAACAAATGCCCAGATTTTTGGTCTGTAGTTGCAAGCTGTGAAATTTTGCTAATCATTGCCCCATCCTCTGCAGACCCACCAATTTCTTTTAAACAAATAGTTTTCCCAATTCTAAATCATGCTTGTTATCACTTGGCCATTAACCAACTGACTGCCTGATTATTGAAAAGAATGCATGGCTTTGGTATCAACTTCTCTTGTGCAACCATTCCTGGACTTGGATATTAACTCTTCTGTTGGTGTGGGAATGGATGGATGCTGTGAGTCTAGAGTAATATGAAATTACCACAATAGTGGTAGCTAGGTGTGGTAAAGGATTATAGTTAAATAAAAAAAGTGATACTGTTTTGCCATAATTATGATTTTTTTTCCAGAAGTGGTATAGTTGTGTTTTTCTTTTCTCACCTTTTTATAGGTGTGGGTCTAGCAGTGCTGTAGATGTGGTCTGTGCTTTTCTGAGCCTGAACTGGTGTCTAAACGTAGATCATCAATAATGATACATGCTGACACTATTTCATTTCTCTTTTACGTTGAAAATGTGAATCTATATGTACGGTGTACATCTAATTAACAAAAGTATTCTGGAAAATTAGCAGTATGTAGTATTCCGTTCTTTGCATTTTAAGCAGACCATTTTTTTTTTAAATTGTGGTCATTTACTATACCAAATGGTCAGACCTACAGATGATCTTTACTTTACCTGATACGCACATTACTTATGCAATGCATATCAGCTGATTTTACTGCTGCTTACTATAAGGAACTAATAGAATATGCTGGAACAATTAAAGAATGTTGGATGGAAATTTCCAACCTGCCTGAAATGCACAAAGCTTGCAGTTCTTAGAATCCGGTAACAGTAGACATACACAGGCTATGGATGTAATGGAGCCAGACAAGAGCAATTCTGCTGGGAACAACTGGTCAATATCGTATTCATGTCTGCTGATAAAGCCCTACAAGCAAGTATTGAATGTGCATGTCAGGGGAAGGTTGTCCAATGGTCCAGTTTCAAAGTTGTGGCATTTCCCAAACTTAAAATAGTAACTAAAGTATAATTGATACATGCTAACTAAGTCCCTCACATCTGCTTAAGGTAATGAACCACTGGAAGGAGCCCGATTTACCAAATGCAACTGCTGCAGGATTGGAATACTGGAAATGGGCTGTACATTTATCCATGTTCCATAATTCATTTTGAGAGCTCTCAAGTTTGCCCCCTTTTTTCATCCAATGACTCTCTTCCATTGGCTCTATGTTTTCTCAGTAGCTGTGCAATATGATCTCCTGAAGCACTGTATGACAGCTGCAGCCCAGCAATTTATGCTACAAGGGCTCTTCAACGGTCGAAGTAGAAGAGTGAGATTACAGTGTCATAGAGGGGGAGGAATAAAAGCCCCACCTGAAGAGTGCCACTATTTTCTAACCTGTATGGGTGAAGTGTGCTATATGCGCCTAGTCCATCTCCCAAGGCAGGAAACAGAATTCAACACTGCAGCAGCCACTTTTCTGTACTCAACTTTATAACCACTTCACTAGCAGGCATTGACCAGATCTCAAATACAAAAGACGGTAAATAAAGTCCCTGATGTGGTGATTATCAGTCCATTCAACTCCAAAGCCAAGCTCTTGTCCAAGTGTTTTTTTATTTTCTTGTTGGCGGAGTGGAGAAGGGCTAGAAATTATTTCAGGATTTTATTGCTATATGTTCTTATTCCCGTGACAGAAAAATAGGAAGTGATGGGACACAATGCAAAAAAAACACTTTCTCGCCCCTAGAGGGACACAGCAATTCAGATACAATTTGCTTATACTTCTCCTACTGGCAAACAGAAATATTGTAAGCTAACTCCAGTATAACGCCTCCTTTACCCAGCATGCCTCATTTTTTTGCTGGGGTTTTTGGAGGATAGATTTTTTTTTTTCCTCCAGATCCAGAGAAAAGTCTAAACAATTTTTGTGCTACCCTTTTTTCTTTGTTTTTCTATTCTTTGTGATGTCTCTTTCATTGGCCTAAATCAC